ATCCTTTAGAATCCAGGGAAGAGCGCGAGTTGGCAGAAATTCTTTAGGAGCGGCAGAAGACAAGGCTAACTAGCAGAGATTTCTTGCGTCCTGAAGCAGAGGGCGAGCTAGCAGAAACACCTAGAGATACCTGAATAGGTGGAAAGCTAGCAAAGATCCTTTAGGACGCCCAGACGGACAGGCAACCCAGCCGAGACCATTGTTTAGTTCTTCTCCATCTCCGAAAGGCAGCAATAATCCCAAACAAACATTTTTCGGCGGGCTGCCCCAACCTTCCCGGGGGTTTCTTAAGCCCCGGGCATTAGTTTCCGGCGAGGAAAAGGATGAATGGCCGCTTGGAAGGGATAGACTCTCCGTTGGCTTCCCCAAAGAATCACCGCTAGTCTGCTCTCGGGGGGTAAAACTTCCGCAAAAAGCCCTGAAATTTGGCGCAAAGAATCAAAAAAAATTCCACAAATAATCTCGGCTAGCCCGCCTTGAGCACGCAATTTTCCCGAAAAGTTTCGGCTAGCTTGCTTTCTCGAAAATATTTTCCGATAAGCATCCCTAGCTTGCCCTTGCTGCTGGTTTCCTAAATAATCTCCGCTAGCCCACCTGGCGAACGGGGATTTCCCCAAAAGTCTCGGCTAACCTGCTTTTTAGGTAAACTTTCCCCCAAAACATCTACGCTAGCTTACCCTTGCTGCTACTCTTCCCTAAAGAATCTCCGCTAGCCTGCCGCTACGGATCCAAAATTCTAAAAAACCTTCAAATCTAATTTAGATAACATCTGAAAAAAGATGCTCCGCCGTGAATTCCAATTTCCGCAAAGGAATCCGGCTAGCTTGCCCTCCAATTTGTTGCTTCCTAAAGAATTGCTGATCCCCCCGTTTGTAGACCCAATTTTCCTCAAAAATCTCAGCTAGTTTGCCCTCCAAACTACAATTTCCGCAAAATAACTCGGCTAGCTGCCCCGAAATTTTCAGTTCCACCAGAAACCTCACTAGCCTGACCCCCGCATGATATATTCTCAAAGAATCTCAGCTAGTTTGCCTCCCAACTCCCATTTCCGCAAAGTAACTCGGCTAGCTTGCCCAGAATTTTCGGGCCCACCAAAAACTTCACAGGTCTGACCTCTCCGTCGGGAGACATTCTCAAAGAATCTCTGCTAGCTTCCGTCCAGAAATCATTTCCTGAAAGGCTCACGGCTAGCCTGCCCCCAAAAATGCCATTCCCCAAAGAATCCCGGCTAGCCTGCCACCCCCAGATGGGATTTTCGCCATTTAGCGGGAAGCGGGCAATTAGTCATTGTCATTGTTGGATGAGCCATAGTCTCCCCTTCACAAAGCAAACATGAGACTCGACAGCTGACACGATCCCTTTAGAGTCTTTAGTCTGGAGAGAGAGAGAGAGAGAGAGAGAGAGAGAGAGAGAGAGAGAAAGGCAGATTCCTTCTCACACTCATTCCCCTCCTCCCAGGTGTCCGGTGGAGCATCGCGGAAGAGTGGCTCACATTTCTTCTTCTTCCCCTCCAAGCATCTCACCGCCGAAATGCTCGAAACGCGAACTGCCACCCGTAAAAAATGACGGGCTGCAACACCTTTGAGGGGGGAGGCTAGCAGGGATCATTTCGGAAATTCCGGCAGGCTAGCAGAGACTCCTGGAGACCGCGTGAAGGAAAGCAAGCTAGCAGAGGTTGTTTAGGACCTTGGGCAAAAAGGCGAGCTGGCATAGATTCTTGAGACGTTGGGATGAGGGCTGGCTAGCAGAGACACTAGGATTTCTGAAAAAGGGCTAGCAAGCGGAGATTCTTTCGGAGGCTGGCAGGAATCATTTCGGAAATGACGCAGGAAATATTCAAAAATAGTTTAACTTGATCGGTGTTTGCGCTGATTAATTTTTGCCTAATTTGACCTTGACAAAACGGGCTAAAATTTGTAAATTACACATTCCATGCAAAAAAAAGCAAGAATTTTTCTGAAATCAAATCAACGTTAAAAACCGGTCCGGATGGTCCGCAATCTCTTCTAACAGGGCCAGGTATCACCGTGAAATCTATAAATTTTCCCATACTTTCCTAGTGCCCGTCCATAGCCACGTCCCGTAGCCGATAGCCAGTTGGAAAGGGAAGTTTCTAAAACCCTGCCGAGGACAAAGCAAAACAAAAATTGGGGGAAGTTCCCCCGGGAATACACCTTGGAAATGGACATGAATTAGGGAAGGGAAAGAAAAGGAGAGGCAAAGGAGGGCTGTCGATGAAAAGTGGATTTACAGGGGGAGGTGGGTGGAAGAGGATTGTCCCCCCCCCCCCCCCAATGCAACAATTCGGCATTGGGGGTCGGAAGGTTTTCAGGAAACTTATGCCCTACTAGACGAAGCACGCTCGGCTTCGCCAGCCTCGCTAAAAAACTTCGAAACTGCTAAACAGGGCTGCAAGACGCCATTTTTCAGGCTCCGTTCTCCAAGCTCGACGCCTATCGATACGCTACGCCAAGCCGAAGCCTGGACTTCGTTCTAATCGAAGCCTAAAAAGCCTAAAAAGATAAGCCAAGTTCAATCAAGAATAACTATACCCGGTTCCAGGCTGGCCGTCACAGATAAAAGACCAGCTCTTCCGGTTTCTAAGGGAAAATCGAAGCTAATTATAATTCAAGCCTATGTGCCACCTAAGCCTGCGCTAAACCCTACTGTAAAAAGGGTTAAAGTTAAGTTAAACGAACCTTCGCTCAAGCTTATTAATTAAACCGCGAGCCCAGTATGCAAACAAAATACTTCGTCGGCTTTCTATCGGCACCCAGGAAATCTATAATTTCCAAAGTGATAATTAGCTTAAATGTTGTCTCATTTTAAATATAATATAATTTTTATTTCCTTTTAAATCTATTTTTAAATAAATTGTATAACATCAATACTACTTTAAAATAAGTCCATCGTAATTGAATGATTCGAAAGTACCATCAACTCCTAAAACGAGCTTTATGACAGTAATTAGCGCTCTTACAACCAAAATACTATCAGACTCGGTATTTCTCTAAATGTGCGTATCCTTTCTAAAAATTCCGCTAGGCAACGCTTCCGTTACGTGCCTTTTTCGCTCCCTTTCCTGACCCGGAACTAGTAAAAATTGTTTGCCTGCAATTTTTGGCGCCGTATTCTGGTGCGGCCCTAACAAAGATAGCGAGATCACCACCCCGCGAGAAGCCGACGCGAAACATCGGCAAATTCTGGAATTCACCCCCCACTGACGGCAGCCTTTTTTGATGGCCTGGGCGATAACAGGAAGTGCCTGGGTCCAAAGATATAAAGGATATCATGGGTGGGGCCATCCCAGCCATTCCGCTTATCACCGCTGCGCTCTTTTGGGCCTGAACTTTCAGTTTTGTGGATTTTTGGTTGCCTTTGCTTGCATCAATTATGCAAAATCAGCTCGTAAATCACAAAATTACGCACATTTTTGATGCAAATTGCAGAGGTCCCCATATTAAATAAAAAATAAAAAGTATTTTCGTTATAACTTTAAAACCCGCTGACCGATGGGTCGCTACCTCTATGCAAAATTTCAGGTTGATCGGACGTGAAATAGAGAAATGCGGCCGGTGTCTTTTTTTTTGGGACACCCTGTAGTAGAGGCTCATGCCGAAGTTAAGCCTAAGCCTAAGCATACAACAACACCCAATAGACGAGATATAGTTATATCAATATCCTAAGCCCGGATTCCTCTTTCAAACACACAAAAAGCTTTTGCCTAGCCTAGCTTTTTCGCGCATAGTTCCTAATTCGACATGGAAAACCTATTGTCGCGTTTGCTAAGTAATCCAAAGCCAGAAGCTTATAAATTTCATGTTAAAAGATACCTAAAAGCTGAATACATCTTCACTCTTCAGGTAAAGATGAAATCGCTCTGCCTGTTGATCGCGCTCGCCGCCTGCGCGACGTTGAGCTACTCGCTGGCTATCCCGGCTGTCAGGGACGACACCCTTGGCTGCAACGTTTGCATGACGGTGGTGGAAGACGCAGAAAACTACGAAGGAGATAACCTAGTAAGTATCAATCAACACGATTATCGGGGGGGGGGGGTATAAAAATGCCAGATTATTGCCAAAAATCGAGTTTCACGGTGCAAAAAAATGCACAAAATGCCATTTTAAACGCTTAAATTGTTATAACATTTTGCCGATCAGACACTAGCAAACAAAAACAATACTAACTAATAAATATAAATATAATTAATTAAAATTAAAATCGACATTACTTCTAAGCATGTAGAAGCTAAGAAAATAAATTGTTTTGTGCCCATCGCTAAACTTTTGACCCCCCCCCCCCGCCCCAATAACAATCCAGCCCCTATCTGCTCTCACCTAGTAACAAATCATCAAAGTAAAATAGATCAGCAGAAATCTATCCCGTTTCTAGAAGGAGCATGAGGATGACATCATTAAGAATTGCGAGGCCAAGAACCCTGGCATGCAGGGTAAGATACTTCGTCCATCGGAGGAAAACCGTAAAACCCGATTTAGGAAAAATTTTCTGCGACTGGGTCGTGAAGAATGAGCTCGAAAATATCGAGAAGCAGCTCAAGGTGAGTGTTCAAGCTATTTTCTAAAAAACTGCTTCTGTTGCAGGATCCCGAGCACGAGAAGGAAGACGCCGAGAAGTTCTGTGACGGCGTTCACATCTGCCACGAGAAACAGTGATTTTTGGCATAAAAGAGAGTTAGACGTTGAAATCTATAAATCAAAGCGGAAATTGTGAAACTGTCTCGGGACTGGCCATCGCCTGCTTACTACCTAGAGATTAAGACTAAAAACTGAAAGAAATCCAAATACTTCCGGCCATTCCGTGCAACTTTCACAGAATCATCAACAGTGTTCAACATCAAATTTATTTCATCAACGTGTAGGCGATCAAGTGTGTGAATCGATAGTAACATCATTTCCAGACAAAACAACGATCAATAAATACTACAACAAGCAGACAAATTAAAATTACCTAAATAAATTAAAAGGCAGATTCGACAGTTAGGCTTCAGGGACAGCGACGCCGGGTTTCTTGAAATTCAGCCATTCGGGGACGGACTTCTCTTTCTTTTCGAGGTCGTCGGTCAGCCATTGGGCCCACTGGCAAACCGTCATCTTGTTCTCGCCGGAGACGATCGTCTCAAAGCAATCCTCAAAATGGAATTTGATAAATGTCGTTGAAAATGAAAAATACCCAATCAAGCAGAGAATCCTCGCGAAGCTGCTGCGCAATTTCGCCGTCTCGGATGAGAATGGCACGAACAAGTGCGTCGATCAGCTTCTGCTTTTTGACTTCTGGGCGCTGAAAAGATAGATAGTGATGGAAAAGCCAAAAAAGGTACCACGGGCGCATTGTGAACGGCGTGGAGAAGCGTCTTCAGCAGCAACGGGTTGCCATTCTCCACCGCATGAACAAGAGCATCAGACTTGACGATGCCCAGCTCAAGTTCGGGAATATACAGGAAAACGTCGCTAAAACGATCGAAAAACTTGAAAATTAATAAAAAACTGACATGTATCCAGCAGCAACAGCTTCCGCCATGTAGTCGTGTTGCTGGCTTTGCCAAACGATCGGAGCCGAGGGGAGCAAGAGATGTGCCTAAAGTGCGAAATCGAAAACCACCTCAAAATTACCGTTTTGTGGCGCACACAGGCCTGTTCATAGGTTTCGTCGGAAATCGGCGAGTCCCGGGGGATATTCCAGCCGAAGTCATTTGCTTTCCTGATGAACTGTTCGACGGTAGCGGCCTAAACTTGAAAAAAGAGTTGGACATGAAAACAACAGTTCTTTCGCATTATCTAGGAGGGGCGAACTTTTTAGCAGAGTCTTGAAATGTCTAGTGACTAACTAGAGGTATCTTAATAGCGTTGTCGGTAATATTTAATAAATTTCAAAAAGAAAAACCATCTAAATATTGTAAAAATGTTTTAAAAAAGTAGACATTCTGCAAAAACCGGCCATTTTTCCTTCGAAAAATCTTTATTTCTGCTACTTTTTAATAAAAATTTGCAAAGTTTTCAGGATTAAATAGCAAAAACCTATTTAGAAACACTTCAAACATTTGAAAGATCAGACGCAAAGCAAAAAAAAGTTGGTTAGCCACATACCAAAACAGCTTTTGTAGAAAATAGAACTGACCAATTTTTTGTCCCCGAATCGAGCCACAGCCGTCATCAGCGAATCGATCCCCACGTAGGTTTTTCGTTTTGCAAGCTTGAACTAAAAAACTCGGCGTTACTGAAGGAACCGTGGTTACCGTGCCAATCCCGCTAAAGCCGGCAGGAACGATGGCCGGTAGTAGACGCTCAACTCCTTTGGAGATGCGATCGAAGATTTCGACGGAGCCTTTAAGAAACCATTTACACAAACGACTGTCAATTTACCGGTTGACAGCGCGCAGAGAAGGACATACTCGAGTTGCAATAGTTGAATGGCGCCTTGTTGATTGTCATCGAAAGCGTAGCGATGATTCGGATACGTCAGGAACTGCTCGAAGAGCTCGAAATCGCCGTTTCCGGCTGCAACCGCAAGTGGGCACTGAAAATCACGGTTGGGCAACGCTTTAAAACGAAAAAGAAGGAGCTTAGATTTACCTCCGGTGCATCCCGTGGTGGATTTGGTCGCCAAAACGGGAAGAAGCTGCCTTTGGCCTGTGGCTCAATCCAGGGCAAAATCGAGACATCGCGCCGCAGTCTTTCGCAAAATGTGGTCAGCAGCTTCAAGATCTCGCAATCAACTAAATTCCCGTACAGATTTCAAACGATTCCTGGAACCTGGCTGCGTATCTCGCTTCTGGAATCGTCCGCGGGCCGTCAGATCGCGCCACATCGCCGAGTTGTTGGCCACCAACAGGAACGGGTTCATCCTAACCAAACAAAAAATTAGTAAAACGCCATGCAGACCTACTTTAGGCCGGTCATACGGTGTGGAGGCATCATGAATGCATAGTAGAGTAACTCGCGCACCATCTCAATATCACGAGCCAATTCGAACATCGCTTTTAGATACTAAACGCATTTGCCAACAATCTCCGAAAGCATCACCTCGATTTTTCTTTGGCAAATAGCGACATGCAGTGGGGTAGGAACACCTCCCAGGAAGGCGCTTTCCAGGTGCTTTGGGGACTCTTGGGTCAGACCATAGATGAGTGCCCCGAATTCTTCAGCCGACCTGAAAAAGCTAAGTGTCACGAACGTGCTGTTACCTATTGTGCAACTCCTTGATAAGCCAAGAGGTCTTGTTATGGCGGATTGGGCAGTGATCCCAATACTAAAAAATCACAGAAAAAGTCGAAACAGCGGCTGGTCTTACGATTGCATCGATGTCGGGCTGGGCGGGTTCAGTCAGAGTAGGAGGAAGATGTTTCTAAATAGCTGATTTTCCTCAATTCTAGAAAACGTGCCTTCAACTCATCGAAGCGATGCAGGGCTGCCTCCTTTTTCGCAGCTATAAAAGGATCAACCAAAAACAATAGTGAATGAAATACCCCGAGCTTCATCGGCTGTTGGAGTGGCGAAAATAATTTGACAATCCGAGGTACTCGCCTCTCCTGTCACTAAAAGACACAATAATGGTGAAATAATAGGAATATACCAAGTGTTGCATGTTGTGGCGGCGCAGCTCCAATGGCCGGATCGGCGGCTATAATTACGCAATCATCTGATGATTCATCAAGCGACGATGATGTATCAGAATCCGATGAACTCCACCCCATCGGATCAAAGTCCGCGACAGCTTCCCGCTCCGGCTCCTCTTCTTCCGTCGAGGACTCGAATAAAAAGTCGGGTTTATCCCACCGACGTCGCTCCTTCTTTTTCTTGGCTGTAGCTTTGCTCTTTGGCGCTGCCGAGCTGTTAGGCTCATTCTGCGGCTTTTTGGCGCTTTCCATAGTAATTGGTGGTTGCTTTTCTTTCTGCGGGCTCGGGTCGCGGCAGCCAATCCACCCAGCTATTGGCTTGTTTTCACAGCGTCGTGCAGTCCTGAATACTGGCAATTTCCTTCCCGGAGAGGGCTGATCATCGTCCGAAAGGGACTGCAAGCTCGACGAGTCATCCGAAGAAGACTCGGATTGCGGTCCGTCACCGGATGAGCTGGATTCTTGAGCCTCGGCAGGTGCTGATTCTTGGGACAGGCCAGACTCTTGCGAAGTTTCCAGAATTTCCACCGAAGCGTCGGCCGACGAGTCGAGCAGCACGACCTCTTCTGGTTGTGCGATTGGGAGGTTGTTGGCGGGAGGGGCAGGGGGTTCTTGGCGGGCTCTCGGCCTTGGGTTGTTGCCCGCTCGCGCCGTCACGCCCCCATTCTCTTCGTCGCTGCTGCTGCCGATGACCACCCAGTTGATTCGCTCCTCCGTCATGCGTATCTGAAAAAGCATAGGGTTTTTGTGGTGAAAAATGAGAAGGATGAATAAAATAAAATGAAAATATAATTAGTTTGCGATAGAAAGGAGCGGTTGATAAGAATACGTCAAATTCCCCAGAATTTTGAAACGTTCCGCGCTATACCTAATTACGGAATTTGTCATTTTTTGCCCCGTAGCATGGAAATCTCGAATTTTTTTATCGCTTCAAAAACATATCCTACTATATATAAAAAAGTAGTGTCTGTGTGTGTGTGCCACTTTGCATCCACTTCCGCATCGTTGTTCCAGTAGTATCTCCATAGGGAAAGAAGTTATGGGTGGGTACAGTATGTCATTAGGTGCGTAATGGTCTAGGGATGACTGCACACATATCAGATTTATGAAAATCAGTCATTTTCGACATTAAATTTAAGTTTTTGTAAAACCCTCTTCGCTAGGAAAAATTTGCATTGACCGGAAGTAGGGAGTCTCCTATATAAAGGGTCATAAGCGAATCATTTTCATTTTTGTCATCTGAATTCAGCGCAATTATGCAAAGCGTAGATTTTCATGCAGTCCAAGACGGGGCCAGGGTTGAAAAGTCGCGAAGCGGCTTTTCAACCCTGGTTTAGTCTAAAAACCATATTTTAGCGAGAAAATTTTTTCACTTATCCTTAGTATCTTCTTATTATTGCGCAACACCTCTTATTATGGTGTGATCCACTAACTTTCCTGACGTTTCCCTTTTCCCCGTCCAATTTGTGCTTTTCGCGAGTTTGTGGCTTTTTCCCAGGCCGTAAGGGCTCGTTCGATGACCAATCGTGATTGCTTACGCGATACAAACGCCTGCTCCACTTCCCCCTTTTTAATTAGGTGGCTCTCTCAAAATCGAATAATTTATCAACTTTCTCCAAAAATTAGTAGTTGATTTTACCATCGTCGTGTTTCTTCTTTGTTCTTTTCCTCGATACAGTCTTATTTTACAGGCAAGTTTTCTCGATGGAACCCAAACGCGCCCAGCAGCGCTGCGCGCAGCTTTTCCACGGGACCAGGTATTTTTTAGAGTTTGAGCTCTAATTTCTTTTATCAGATGGTATCAATCTCTCAGCATGCAAGAAGAAGAGGCACGCGTCTCCTACGAAACCGATCGGGCGATTAAGATGGCGCGTTGGGTAAGCTTTTCCCTTGTTATGGATGAGAATATTTTGTAGGCATTAAACGATGAGGTGCCCCTCGTGCCCCAGCGGCCCCGGCCAAGTTGCTTCCAGGACCTAACGCAAGGCGGCCCAGGACTGGCGGTCTCCGAGAAATTTGTTGAGACCGTCCGAAGACACGAAGCATGGCCCTTTGAAGAGACGCTATTCAACGCACTGCGGCACTACCAGTCTACAAGGAATATAGAAGAATATGAAGCATCGCGTCAAATCATCGACCTTCTTGTGGTTTGGTTTCATAAAGTTAAATAATCGTTGTTTTTTAGAGTGGAGGTGATGTCGATAAGGCGAAATATCCGGTGGAGGCGGCCATTTTCGAAAATGTATGTGTTAGTTCTTTATCTTGACGAATCTTTAGGTAAAGAATTTGGTGCCAAAACTGGCGGGGATCCCCGAGGGAAGTCTACTCGGCGACTGGGACGAATTTCCGATGGAAGTCGCGCAGCGGGACCACTTTGCCCTACGACTTGTCTACATTGGTGCGCACTCTATGGAATGTACTCGAATAACCCCTGATAGATACCGTCGGATTGTCCTTCAGCTATGGTGGCCTTTTTTCCGCGCGTGTGCTACAGTTCTGGGAGAAGGAACACTTCGATCCTGAGCAGGTATTTTTGTCTTTAATTCTCAATGTCTTTTTCAGCGACTCTATATGCGACCGATTCTCAATGCCGTCTACTACTACCTACTTACTGGCCATAAAGTCGTCGTGCTGTTCCCATTAATGTACCATCCCGACAATTGGGCTGAAGGGGAAAAGGTAGAATAGAATTTTCGGCGGCTTTGAGAACTTCTGCATTTCCAGAAAGTGGACAACATCGTCGTCTTTGAGCATCTTTGCCAGGCGGGCATTGTCGAATTTGTGGGCAACCGGGGAGATCATCGCCGCGATTATTGGGTCCCAAAATTAGCGCTGAAAGTGGAAGAGGTACGTTCGGTTGCTTTCTCGCTTACAATGTTTTTTTTCAGAACAACGCTCAGCTCATTTCCTACTATCCGCTGCTGGAGGAATGTAGGGGCGGAGTCTTCGACCAAGCCTTTGAAAACGTAATTTTCAGTTTGTGAATTTTCTAAATTCGCCTTTTTCAGCAGCCTATCCTGACCACGATACCGCCGATATATCGTCAGACGAACCCAATTCTGGTGTTCCCGGGCCGTATCCCCATCTATTACCATGATTACACGATAGAAATTGATGCCAATGTAAGCTGTTTTTGCCTTTCAACGTCTCGCCCTGTTTTTTTCAGAAGCCGACTGAGTTGACTGAGTACGGCGACGATGTACATGTGACGCGCAAGAACGACAACAACTATGTCTGGATCGAACCGAAACTCGTCAAATATATGGCCGACACGGATGGGATGGTCGATTTCTTCGCGCAGCAGTTGACGTTCAACGAGCAATATCGCTTGGTACGTTATTCCATTTGTGCGGAATTATTGTCACTTTCAGGTGCGTTTCCTCGAGACCCTTCTGTCGTGGGACAGCCCTCAACTTCGCCGAGCCTACCTCGCCTTTCGATACATTGCCGAACACATTCGAAAAATCTTTTTGCACGATGCTAACCCCAACGTGTGAATTTCCAGGCCCGTATTTATGTGTGTGTATTTTCTGCCTTTCCAGGTTGTCTTTCGTTATGTCTTTCATTTTGCCTGCCGGCAGGCTTCCCGGAAATTTTCAAACTTTTAAAACTTTCCTTTTCGTTCACGTTGAGGCGCGGATAAATTGTTAATCCGCTAGTTCCGATTGCGCACAACGACGAGACTGACGATCAACTAAATTTGCACTCACCGCAAATGATTTTACGGAGGCAAGTGGGCACATTCAGAGGTAACTAAATGGATTCCGACGCCCATGGATCCTCGGGTTGAAAGCCCGACAATGAGCGTTCGCTCTACAAGGAAGACAGGATACTGGCGAGCACCAACTGCAAAAACGGGATCATGGCAGAAGATGCGCAACTTGGAGAAAGCTACGTTTGCGCAACAACGATTTCTCCATATACAGAGGAAAATGGTGTTGTTATAATGCCGTTGCCAAACGGTCATGTCCAGCAAATTAGGAAGACTTTGGTAAGCTTGTCGTAAGCAACTCGTTAGACAATAGAGCTTTTGAAAAAATTGTGGCCCTAAAGAGGGCCGTTGGGTTGGTGTATATTTTCTAATAGCATCGATTACTTGGAAGAAGTGTACTTGGTGACAGCCTTCGTTCCCTCCGAAACCGCATGCTTCGCCAGCTCACCGGGCAACACGAGTCGGACAGCCGTTTGGATTTCGCGAGAAGACAGTGTGATCCGCTTGTTGTAGTGGGCCAACTTGGAGGCTTCTTGGGCGATACGCTCGAAGATATCGTTGACGAACGAGTTGAGGATGGACATGGCCTTCGAAGAGATGCCGGTGCCCGGGTGGACCTGCTTGAGAACGCGGTAGAGGTAGATGCCGAACGACTGCTTCTGGGCCTTCTTCTTTTGCTTCTTGTCGCCGACGGCGCGGGGCGGGCGGCCGACGGACTTGGCCACTTGGGGAGTGGGAGGCTTCTTCGTCGTGGTCTTCGCAGCAGACTTGGGCGGCATTTCGAGCTTGATGTTTTCGTGGATAGTGCACGATATATTCCGATGGCGGGCGAAATTCCTTTTATAGTCGGGGAGGGGAGGGGGCGGGGCCTGGCGTACAGTGTAGCCTCAGGGAAAATAGGCCACGCCCCTTCCCACTCCAACTATAAAAGCCGAAAATGCGATTCTTTGGATTTATGCCCTTTTTGCAAGAAAGAAGCACTAATGGCACGCACGAAGAAAGTTGTGAAGGACGAGGCGCGCGACGCTCCATCCCGTGACGCCACTCCGCCGGCCGCCGCCCGCGACGTCAAGCCCATCAAAAGCAAACTCGACAAGAAGAAAAAGAGGTCATCGCGTCGTCAAGAAACCTTCCGCGTTTACATCCACAAAACGCTCAAGGACACGATGCCCGACATGAACGTGAGCATGAAGGCGATGCAAGTGCTCGACTCGCTCGTCAACGACATTTTCGAACGCATTGCCTCGGAAAGCAATCAATTGATTCGCGCGAAAAAGTCTACGACGATGGCCTCGCGTGACGTGCAGACGGCCGTCCGCCTCGTGTTCCCGGGAGAGCTGGCGAAGCACGCCGTCAGCGAGGGCACCAAGGCCCTTTCCAAGTACACCGCGAGCACCCAGCAGCAATAAGCGAGTGATTGAATTGAAATAAACCCCCAACCCAACGGCCCTCTTTAGGGCCACAAATCTTATAAATTAGTTACCCGCCCAATTTTCTAGATCTTTTTAGTTTACCCGTGGCGCGATTGAATGTTTTATACATTTATTGCTCGACGCAAAGATGGCCATCGACAATATGGAATGAAAAGTCCTTGTAAGCTGCGATGTCGTCCTTTCGCAACTCCGCAGTCAGCTCAAATATATGGCGCACCATCGAAGAAAAGAATGGGTCATCACGCTTTGCTAAAGGTAAAGTGTTTTGTGAGTTTTAGAGAGGAATTTAGTTAGCTCTTCCTTTTCGAGAAAGCAAGCAGCCGACCTCTTTGCTGAAGCTCTTCGAAATAGTCCCACTGGTCAGCGCCAAGCATGTGGTACATCCTCATCGGGAGGCTTCGGTCCTTTAGGGCACTAAATAGCCCGAATAGAAGTTAGTTTAGTCGTTTTTGGGTGTTAATTTGCAGAATCTAGTTTCAAACATCAAAAACTCGCGTTTCTATCCGAAAAAATGGATTCTGCGTTTAGTTTTCGCCGAAAATAGCCAAAAACAAACACAATAATTTGTTTGTTTCGTGATCGAATCTAGCGGGTATTGCCCACCGAATCCGTTGCGCTTCTTCAGATTCCATTTCTTGAGCTGAAGGTGGTTGCACAATTCCATCAATCAACGCCAACGCGTAGCTCGTCTAAATGGGGCTCCAGCATTTTACAGGGGTTTAGAGGTTGATATAAGCAAAAATTCATCGAAACGTAGGCGCTCCTCGCCTACCTGGGCTTGGAATAAAATAAACGGCAACACGAATGGCAGCCCAATGAAGAACAGCGAATCCGGATATCTTCTAGAAGCCATGTGCAGGAAAAGGCCAGACACCCGTTTTCCTTGTTCCTCGACACGGATCCCGATTTCCGGGCTTAGAAACGGGAAACTAAATGGATTTGGAGTTTTGGTTTGGATTTCTCTTACTTGTAGTGATAGCCAGTGCAAATAATGATGTCATCACATTCCAGGAGGTGGTTATTATTATTCAGCTCGATACCATTTTCATGAATTGCAGTTACTTTCTCATCTATCTAAAAAACGGTGAGAAATAGGTTAAATTAAGCTATATGCTTACCAATTCCAGATTATCAGGCCAACCATCAAATACGGCTGGTCCATGCCCGAGCAGAATTACCTAAAGTTGAACTTTTCAGAGCTTCGCTGGAATATTTTGCCCTATCGACTTTGTTCAATTCTTCTTTGCCTTTTTTAGCCCACATCACTGCTATTAGTTTAAATTTTTAAAGCTGTTCTCATACTTTTTGAGCAACTTCAGCGACCTGCAGCGCAATGTCGATCCCCGATGGCCCAGCCCCAACCACAGCCACTTTTCGATCCCGATATCCTCTATTCGAGCGATAGTCGTGACTGTGAACGATCGATCCCTCTAAAATAATGTTATTAAGCTTTAAAAAGACAATTCACCGACTTGTAAAGCGTTTCTCATCGAATGGTCGATTTGGATGGGAATAATGGCCGTTGCAGACAAATAGCACATCCACTTCCGTTTGTCTCTTTTCACCTTCTTTCTCTATCTCTACCTAAAATTACAAATCTTTTTATAGTTTGGCTATTCTACTATCAATACTACATCATTGATTTATTTCGCACTCACCATCCATCTCTCGCCATTCCTTTCAACCCTCAAAACACGTGTTTTCAGCTGAACATCGAGGTGACCCCCATATTCCGTTATATACTAGAATTAATCAATGATATGTATAAATAAACTATAATATTAATATTAATGTTAAGAAATGTACAAACTTGAAGAACTTGTTGATGGGTGATAAATGAGGGTAGATGATGAGGAAATGGATGACCAGGGAATGCCATTGTTTCTTTTGGTAGATTCGTCTTCATCACTTCATACATACTCGAATGGGTCCCCGTTTCTTCATTGTACACCCAGGTACCTCCAATTGAGCAGCATTGCTCCCAGATCTGGAAATAGGGCGCTTTTGTATTAACGAGGGGGTGTATAGTCAAGAAACCCCAGTACTGTAATACTAAGTGTTTTCATAGTGTTTTTAATAAAATTGGGAATATTTCAAGTGCAAAAGTATCTAAAAAATTTCTAAACGAAAAATTTTGTTAGTAAACCGAGATTTCTATATTTAAAACAAGATTTCTAAACTTTAGAGCTTAGTATAATAAAGACAGTTTAAAAGCACTAAATAAGGTTAGCAAAATTGAATCCTCAAGCACTAGTGAAAAACCCCAAACCTGAACCTGATGTCCGGCTTCAAGCGCATTCCGTGCCACGCAAAGCCCAGCCGCTCCCGCACCAACGACACCGACACGTACCATCGAGCCCAGCAACTAACTAGCGGCCCGCACATCTTCCCCCTAAATATACGAGACAGCCCTAAAAACGCGCATCCATCATGTTCATTATATACTCTGTCAAAGCCGTCAACACCCAGCTGAGAATCGGAGGTGACACGCTCAGGCGATGACCATCAGCTGGAGCCTCAGCGTGGTGTGTTTTGTGTTTTGAGGGAGCTATCCTCTCGCTCCTCAGACAAATTGCGGTACTGCACTGTTAGCGGGGGCATATCTAGAGCATCAACAGCTGTAAAATTTTTAGCGTTTTATGGTGGCCATTTTGAAATGAAAATTTTGAATTTTAAGCATTTTAAGCAAATTTTTCATCACATTTCGTTGATTTTTTAGGAGGCTCGTACCAAAAAACAACACCGCAAAAGCTAGATAAATACTGTGGGTTTCATTATTGGGTTGCTAAGAGTCGATAGGTCAAAGTTAGACACCCCGCTCACAGCCCAGTACCGAAATTGTCCCAAAAAACCCCGCTGTTCATAACCTGATGGCTTTATCCGCATTCTGGCAGCTATAACGAACAGGCAAAGTTTGCTATACTCTCACATTTTGCACACGGCTAAAAAATGTGCAAACACGGCGCGCGTAGAATCATCAACGTGGGAACAAGGGAGGACGGCATATTGGTTGGTGCAAGGGTATATCACTTATCATTTGGATCATATAGCCTAAAATATGGACGGAAGGGCGGGTGGGGCACAACCAAGAATTGTATGGGAATCACAGTGTAGGGGAGGATTTTGAGGGGAAACTTTTTATAAGAAGACATGCAAAAGAGAATAATATGAGTGAGGTGTCTAAAGAGACAACTTGAAGAGAGCAAGAGACACAAACCCTTCAGAAGAGCGGTAGATCTCGTGCGCTTTTCGTTTTCGGTTTGGTGATATGGAGTTTTGATAGGTGATCTAGTCAAGTTGATAGAGCTAAAAATTCTCTACAATTCTGATTATTGAAAAATAGCTGAACGATAGCAAAAAAATCGTGTTTTAAATGTTTTCAACATTTTTCTAAATAGAGAGACGTTCAAAAACTCCATTAGCAAGTCACGGAAACAACGAAAAGCGCAACGTGGTTAAGTGAAAAAGGGAAGTTGTGAGAGACAGAAAGTAGACCGCATCGTCGCAGGACGGGTCAACACGCACAACAATCTCGTCACAACACCCATAATGCATATTTGGTATGTTGGGTAACACAGAGAGAGAGAAAGAAGCGATGGACAATTTGAGGGGCACACAGCTTCAAAAAAAAAATTCGCAAAGCCAGACGTTGAAAATAGAAATTTTTCCGTACGAATCCGGGCGGACAGTTCTGGAGAAGTGATTAGCGACAAACCAAGGGGATACCCGATATGGCCAACAAATCGCAGCAGGGGATGGGGGGGGGGGGGCACGTCAGGGGAATAGCAGGGCTCTCGCGGACGGGGGCTCCAAGAAAATGTACAACGTGAAGGGGAGACATATTTTCGAGCGTTGCTTCTACATAATTGTGCAGCAACAGGCCGCCTTGTACTCCCTGCGCGTTTCTCCGCCGCCGCCGCGGAATTCTTCCGGTGGAGCGCCTGAAATTTTGGAGATTTATAGAAGGCTTCTTGCACAAAAAAAGAGAATAAACTAGGAAAATTCCGGTCTTTACAACAATAATTGCGAACCGGGGTTCCTATAAGTGATAATAGCGTTTTTCATTATGGCATAGCTAATTACACAGAGCTAAACATTCCAAAAACAGTCCCATCTTTCAAAAAATTCGAGAAAATCCGCGTTGCTAAAGGCCAAATTTCTTTTTTACGCACCGCTTAACAAAACCTCACTTTGAGACACTTTTGTATTGTAAATAGAAATCGTTCTTTTTGTGAAAGATTCTATTTTTTTCAGTATTTGGCGCGCGATCGAATTACCTAGACCACAATGAAAAACTCCGTTATCACCCCAATGCCATTGCTTGTAAGCACTGAATCACGTACCCTTCTTCGGCCGCTTCCGCTGGCTTCCAACCCGTCGTGGCTCTCCCTCCCGTTCGTCCTCCTCGTCCTGGCCGGCCTCCAGCTTGCGCAACCATTCATCCGGCGACATCGGCTTCGGCTTGTTCATTCCCTAAAAAGTTGGTCCAGGTGCTAGGAAACAACTTACCTTTAGATTTCTCTTAGTGGGTGACTCCCGTGGATGTGGCTGGTGCAGCACCTCCGGAGTGGAGACATCTTCTTTCGACCACGACCTAGAATTGAGGTCTTAATAAGAACAACTAGACTTTATTCCATTTAACTCAAATTTTTCCTATTATTAGTGTAGTTTTATTATACCTATACTTGCCAACTTTAATGCATCTACTATCTTTCATTTCTTCATTCTTAATATTATTCGCTTTCTTTTCTCTACCTCATAAGCTCATCTTGCTCGTGCCGCGCGTCGATTCTAGCAGCGGTTATTCCATTTCGATCTCTTAGCGATTGACGACGAATAGCACCTAGAAAAAAAAATCGATAAATACGAAAATATTGCGCTGGATTCTAATGTAAAAAACTGACCACGTGCCGAAAATGGGTTGTCTTGGCCGACGGCCGCCATTGCCTGCGGAGACTCGTACTTCTTTCTCCTAAAAACATCGGGATTAAAGTTATGAGCATGATTATTACTTTCTGCTCTGCCGCCGGCTGTCTCTGACCCCAAAGGCCTGCCTCCTTCTACGGGCTTCTTGCTGCTGCAATGAGGTGATGATCGCTCGAGTCGTTGGATCTTCGCACAATTCTAAACAAAGGTTATAGGAGGCAAATCTGGTAGCCGACGGTTAACGGGAGGGGGGCGGGTGGTGTTATTTGCGCAAAACTGTTTTACGAAGTTGCCTTGGGTTCTTATTCTTCACGTTGACTTTTAAGAAAATAAAATTGCGAAACATTTTTATGCTATACCTTATCCTTTCTGACCTTTTTCTTGAAAACCGGACGCCACTTTACGAAATTTCATCTCCTTTCAAATTAAAAAAACCTCGAAATTTCTGCCTTCAAAAAATTATTTTTGGAAATATAATTTCCAAGAATTTTATGAATATCTTTTAGCCTGAGACTTTAATCAGCTGACAAAATTAAAGCACCAAAAACCAACCCAACGGTGTCTCCTGCTGATTCGTCTTGGCCGATATGTCTCCGCCATACTCGCAGAGCAACTCGACGAGGTCTGGCTGGGCCCAGCAGGCGGCCGCGTGAATCGGTTGCCACAAGTCATTGTCGCTGGAAAACAACAACACGTTGCCACGAAAACCGGGAAGAATCATACCGAACTCCGTGCGGCACACCACATCTCAATAAAAAAGCAGCCACATCGTAGAAACCGTTAGCGGCGGCCGTATGCAACTAAAAAGCAGCAAGCTCGGAGTGGGCTCGACAGGAAATTGAGAGGATACAAACTAGGGATTTTTGGAGATACTGTAATTCCACTTATATAAGCCCGCATATCAACCGATCCCCTTGCTGGATTATTGAAAAAAAAAAAGAAAAGCCTCCACTCACGGAAGAATCTGTAAAAATGTCTTTCGACATCAAAAAATTCCATAAAAGTTTTATTTATGCATTCTTTGGTACTATAGGCCTTTTTATTTTTGGACTGGCTAGAGTTATCGAAACCAGTTCAAATAAACCGAAATCGATCAGTCACACGCTTCAATTTCGGTATTTCGGTCGATTGAAAATAATCTAATAACCTAAATCTCAATTAATCAAGTAAACTTCGAAACTAGCATTAAAATAACTTCAGCATGTTAAAAATTCGAATCTCCGGGATTATATGAACGAAAAATACGATATCTATGGACATTTCACAATGGCCAAAGAAGGTCACGCGACATAGCGGCTAACCATGTTTATAATGTATTAAAGCGTCGAAAAGCTGTAACGCCTGAGATTCTAAAGCTTACATATGTGCTCCCATCATGCATCCTAGCTTCCAACGGCAACCCTTGTTGGTGCAACCATTTCATGTCGTCCAACATGGCTTGTTCGCTGGCCCCTCGCTGCTTGTCGATAAATTCCTAGCACCGCATTATTTTAATAGCAACATAATAAAATTACCTGCGTAATTCCCCGACGCGCCATCTCGCTCTCAATACAGTCCAAAGTCTGCTCGTCGTCGCAAATGTCGTACGGCATATTCCCGTCGGCGTTGACGGCCAGCAGGTTTGCGCCCCTGAAATAGAATGGGTGCTAAGAAAGGAGCATTTCGTTTAGCGGGGGTAGGGGTAATTTTTGCCTTTCCCCCCATACCTAAAAAGCAGGCAAATATCTGGTATTTTTATTAGTTCTGATCGCCGGGGAATCAAAGAATCTTTCAGAGGTTGGAAATTCCAACTTTTTGTCCTTTTTCATACGCCTAACAATCCAAAAATCCAAGCTAGCGCCCCCCCCGCTAAAAGGAAAGCACCAAAACAGCAACACCCACTTGTCAATGAGTATCCTCACGACACTAATATGGGCACAACAGGCCGCCGCGTGCAGGGGCGTCCACTGTTCCGTATCCTGAGAATTTACATCGGCCCCGCGGGATAGCAGCAGTTTCATGATCGGCTAAAAGGAAAAATATATATCAGCGCAATAATCCATCCCACCTGGTTGTCGTCGATAGCGCATTGATGCAGCGGAGTAAGGCCGTCTTCATTGTGAGAATTCGGGTTGGCTCCTTCGTTGAGCAGACGTTCAACTAAATGCCATTTTGAACTTTTACTGATTAGTAGTACATTTATCCTAGTAAAAAATTTTTTATTAACGTTTCGACCAAACAGTTGGGCTTTCGAAAAAGTTTCACGTTTTGGGGCTTCGACGGCCTCTGACGTGAGACCAAGATTAGCTTGGGCAGAATTTTGCGCTTAACAAAACGTAGAATCCAGAATCTGCGAAACGACCCGTTTGGCAAAGTAGTACGATAAAGTACGGAAAAAGCACGAAATGGCGTAATTCTGGCATTTTTTTCGCCCTGTCGAGAAGCATAATCTCATTATTCTGCTCCTTTCCGAAATTCTGCAAAGTACGCCTTCATCAGCGTAAAATTCTGTACAAGAGAAGGCCGTGGAGACTCAAAACCCAATCCTTGTAAGCGAAAACCAACGAACCTTCTTGCAAATCACCGGTCGCCGTGGCATCGAGCAACGCGAATTCAGAGGCGAATCGCAAGCGCTGCTTCCGTGGCCGCGGCGGCCCCAAAATCAGCTCTTGCTCCTGGTTCTTCCGGAGTTGAGTACGACGGCGGTCCCTGAACCGAAATGATAATTAGAGAAAGCAATCCCACTTTGCTAATGCGATTCGTTCCTGTGGCGTCAATTCTTCCATCCGGGGGAACTCTGCGATCAGTTCCGCATGATCCATGTTGACGAGGTGGAGGTGCGGCGCCCTAAAAAAGCATTTTTAATTAGAAAGTGGTATAAAGAGCTTGTCTAGCCAGTTGAAAATCAATAAAAACTCACCAAATCCGCGGCTCCGAGAGCTAGCCGATGATGCGTTGCGTATCTTTGGATGGGTCCTGAAAATTACTATTTTGCTTGTTTTGTGGAATTTTCGAAAGAACAAATTAAATGGAAAAGAAGAAGCCAGCAAGAAGCACAAGGGGAGGTGAATCTCCGGAAAGCGGCTGTCGCTATTGGGAGAGGCGATATCGATAGGAATTTGCTGCTGCGGGGCATCATTGATAAGGAGACGCTCTGCGGGGATTTCAGCCCATTTTTGACGCGCATCCCCCCAGCACCTGCACTCACTCACTCACTCGCTTTTCTCGGCCTCGATACGGCCATCTCGACACAGTTCATCAGTTTTTTGAAAGGCCGCCACCGTCGGGGATTGTGGATCGGGGAAAAGCGTGGGAAAATTGGAGCCCGAAAAATCATTGTTAAAAATTGGTCCTGTCGCATTATCGGGGGGGGGGGCACTTTTTCATTAGGAACCAATTTTTCTAATATAAATAGAGGAAGCATTTCTAAAGAGTTTTTATATGCCTAAACGTAAAAACATCATAAATTTTCATAAAACCAACTAAAACATCAATTTTCGACCAAAATTAAAAAATTTGATCGGATTTGGGAATCCTCACAGCAAACATTCTCAAATACTTTGAATTGAAAATTGCTTTGATCGATGCAGGGACCTGAGCCGAGAAGAACATAAAAATCTACAGAAAAATTGTAACCTCAATCGATCGTGAGTTGTCCGAATTCCAAAATATTGACACGATGACGCACCCCCCTTTCGGCGTCTTGGCGGTGGCCAACGCGTATGACTTCCGGTAAATATTGTGAAAAAGCACAGGCTTGGACAAGCGGAATTTCGCCAACAATAAATCCAGTCTCAACCTGGGAAGACGGCTGCCCGAAACAAAAATATCTAAATTTCAAAAGCACATCCTACTTACTTTTTTAAAAATAACGATGAAATACATAGGCCAGATTATCCCTTACTTTTTAACCCCTACCAAAAGGGCATACGCCAAAACCCGCATTTCCGCTCACCTCAAAGTTGCAAAAACCGCCGGGGAAACTCTCTTAAAATGCGTGCGAGAGGCCCATAAAAAGATGAGTGAAGGAGACCCAGGGGATGGGTGTTAATAGGATTTGGTGGGCGGCATATGGGTGCCCCGGCGGATGTGGCTGCTGAATTATATGAGAAGAAGAAGAGGAGGAAGAAGAGAAGCGGGGGGAAGGGGGGAGCAGTGGTGGAAATGGAAAGAGTGTTCGTCGAGGCCGTCGATCGATGCGCCAGCTCCACCGGAGAGGGGGGGATGGCTGTGCCTGCAGCTCTGCTTACCACAACCTTAAATGGCTATGGTGGATACTTTTACATAGAATATCCGCACTGGCTTCAAAACAAAATTTTTTTCAGCCCGAAAATTAAATTTTTGTTAGGGGATAGTGCTCAAGCAAATTTTCCAGCTCTATAGTGCTAAGCTAGATATTTCATAGACTTCAATAGTATACTGGATTTTAGTGGCGAATTTAGTTTAGTGGTTTTTAATACCGAAGTTTCAAGCAAAGCACTTCAACGACTCTAATAATACGCTTTCAAAATTAATAGCAAGATAATTTCAGAGCAGTAGCAAGAATTTAGGGTGCAGGACTATTAGCGGGGGGTAAGTTTGGCCTATAGGCCGTAGGATACCTAGAATACACAGGCTTTTCAGCTAGCTCTAGTGTTTCACACAGTTTTTAAGTACTTATAAAGTTCATAAAAATGGGAAATTTTCGAAGATTTCAAACTTGCAAAAATGTTTTTCTGACACTCTAGCGCGGAAAAGGTGAAGATGCACTAGACTTTGCTCAAGATTTTGCCTAGCAATCGCAGATCCCCCCCACGCCGCTAACAGGCCAGTACAGAATTGCGGAGCTCGTTAGCCAATTCCAGGGATTTTTCAGCACTAAATTTTTAAATTTAACAGGATTTTCTAACCATAGCACAGAAGTCAAAAGCCAAAATTCTCGATGTTGCAAACCCAGGGGGCGCATCATGATTAAGGCGGAGGAGTGCGGATGGTGGGGGGAAAAGTGGCAGAAACAAAGCCAAATGGTGGCGCGGGCCAAATAGGCGCCCGGTGCCGTGAAAGGCGGCTGAAAGCCGGACGCGGGAACCGGCCGGTGACTGGAATTAATGAGACGAAAAGAAACACACAAACACGCGCCCGCCCGGGTGGAAATCTTGAGGGCCCTGCCGGGTGGGTGGGGGGGGGATAGATTGGAGGAAGTGGAGGAAGTAGGATTGTTGAAATGTTCAGGGCTGCAAATAATCATCTTGTTATTACCAAATTTGCTTACATATTATTTCAATAATTGTTTCATTTGAAGGGGCGAAAGTTTTAAGAAAAGCGCCCGCTTCCATCAGTTTTTTGACATTTAGCACGCACAAAAATTAAAAGTAGAATCCAGGGTAAATATAACCACTTTCCTAAGGGTAGAATTACATTACCAAGTGGCTAACAATAAACATTACGTTAAGCTAAGTACTCCCTGAAAATTAGTAATTTAAGGTTTAGGTTTAATTATAATTACCGCATTAAAAAAAAAGCGTGCGAACCGGATGGCATTGGCTAACCGCCGTTTTTAGGGTCTATTACTTATAGTCATGGTACGTTACGGTGCGAACAGTCGGACAACGTTTCTCGACAGCGCTAAAATGTGCACGCTTCAAAACCAAGTGAACGCGCACGAATAACGCCAACACGACAGCAATTTTGAGAAACTCTGTTGCGAGGGGCGCACCTGCCGGCGTGGTAACGCCCACCGGCACGGCTGCTGGCGCTGCTGCACGGTTGCTGGCGAACCAAAACTCGGCGCGGCTGCTAGCACAGCTTCTGGCACGGCTGCCCGCACACCTCGGGAGGCGGCAAACAGGCCAGATTTGGCACGGCTGCTGGCATATCATCGGCGCGGCTGCCGGCACAGCTGCAAGGCACGGCTGCCGGCAGACCGCTGTCGCTGAGCCGCAACGCATCATAACTTAGAAAAATTTTGGCCGGCGCGCTAACTATTATTTTAGTCATAACAATTCTTCAGAACTTTTATATTGCAGCATTTATGTATTGTTCAAGAAAGGAATAGGTACTACGCCGTCACGTACGCGGCCTCTTACTTACGTATGGTTATAATACGTTTGTTATACGCTCGAGATTTCAGGTGAAACCTTTAGAACACAAGTACGAGGCAAGAAAACTCGCATCTCCTATCAGCATGTTTCAAGGTCGAAAATATAATAGCAGGTATAATTGAGTACAGATACAACTGCGTTTAGGTAGAAACTTTTCGATCGGCAATGCTGTTCGGTAACTTGCTAAATTGAAGACAAGCTGCAGAGACTGGAATAGGAAAGTAAGTCTTTTTGAATCCGCTCCAACAATCATTGAATAGCATACCGTTACTAGGTCAACGCTACATGATGCTACACGCATATCATCTACGTCTAATCGTAGGTTCAACAAGAAAAAACCGTAAACTCCGATCGATGGACAATAGAAAGCGAAAGAAACCAGCTATTTTAGTTATTGCTGCTGCTCTCGTTTCAACTACATGATGGCGACGATCAAATGCATCAACCGCTAGCCAAAAACCAATAAAAGCAAATAAGCAATTCTATTTTTATATGCTGTAAAATAAGCGTTAGGTGTGCCGGCAGCCGTGCCAAAGCCATTTTTAGCCCGCTTGCCGGCGCGGCGTGCCGGCAGGCGTGCCACGGCACGGTTGCGCCGCGCGACATTCGGCAGCCGCGCCGATTGTGTGCTGGCAGCCGCGCCATTCGAAACAGAGAAAAAAAGTTCTAAACATCGCCCAGCTTCCGCGGCGCTACTTAAGTTTGCTGGCCCCACTTATATTTTGCCAAAACCTCATGTTTCCGGGCTAGTTTTTTGCGCTTATTACGAAAAATACTATCCCGAATCATGAAAGTTGTGTTTTGAAGGGAAAAACACATTTCCTTGTCAGTTTTCATGGTTTGAGTTTCAAGGGGTTAACTAGAGCGTTGAAGTGGGAGGCCTATAAAATGGGGAAAACCCTATTTCCGAGAAGGCTTATCCTTTGCGTTCGTTTTTTCCTAAAAATAAGGCTTCGTGCCACCCGGGGCCTAGTCGCTTCGGATGGGTGCGAGCTCGTACAGGGTTTCGAAATCGGGGCGCCCGAGGCGCGCGTAGCGGCCAGGCGCCCCGATTTCGAAAGAGTGGAGCGGCAGCCCATCCGAAGCGACGGCCCGCCTTGCCTGACAATGCTACAAGCTTATTTTTTCTTGGTAAACCAGTTTTTGGTTATTTATTTAGTTAAAAACCCACAAAAATACGAGTTTTTCGCAAGCGCCGTAAAATGGAAGTTTCCCGATATTCAAATTAATTTTTTCCTAAATAGCATTTTCGCGGGCTAGGCTAGTGTTTTTCGTCATCAGCGCAAAAAACTAGCCCGGAAACATGAGGTTTTGGCGAAATATAAGTGGGGCCAGCAAACTTAAGTAGCGCCGCTTCCGCTACAGACGGGTGGCGCTGGTGCGAGCAATATAGCATTGAAAGAAGCGAGGCGTTGCTGGTCAGCCAGCCCGACGGATACGCAACGGCTACGGAGCGAGGCTGATCGATCGATACCGTGCAGCCGGGGGAATCCCCTTCCCAACGCCCCCCTCTCTCGTCCCCACCACCGCCCGCAAAACAATCGCGCACTGCGGGTGGGTGACCCACCCCCAACCCTCCAATGCAACCAGGCACAAACAGGGACGACGGACCAGGGGGGGCGGCGGGGGGGAAGGGGTGTATGACGTGCGAACCATAGTTGGTACCAGCTTCGGAGCACTATCATTGGGGAGGGTGCAAGCGAAACATCGCGTCATTGCGCTTGATGCTGGGGATATGGGCAAACAAAGATAAATAGCAATGCACGGTTAGATTTCAGAGTCATAGACTATAAACGCTTCCGGGGTTCCAGGGTCGCCTAACAAGGGATCGGCAAGAAGTGAAGGTGGGTCTTCGACATCAGGCTAAGCACATCTTGTGCAGAATTTTTCAGCTGATCACTAATCCGTTTTCAGATCTTCCGAAATGGTGGTCATATTTGGGAAGCTACAGTGCGCTTTTTGAAACGACAAACCCGAAGATTAGCCTTTAGAGGCCCTGGAAGTCATGGAATAACAGAATCTAGCTCAGAAAAACGAGCTCTGTCGAATGAGCAAGCCGAAGAACGGTCTACTAAAAATTGGCGAAATGGCAACAAATTGACAGGGCGTACGACTTACTGTGATTCAAGAAAATGTTTGGCTACGGTTTACTTTACCCCCCCAGCCGGAAGTTTTTGGCTATAACTTTTTTATTTTACATTATTGTAGGCTCAAATTAAAACTCTGAGTATATTTTTCGACGCTCTATCGAATGGCGTTGCAAAAATCCTGACAAAATAAGCGAAAATACCGACAACTTTGAGACCCTTCGGCTGTGGGGGGGTAAAGTAAACTCTTACCAAATGTTTTTTTTTTCGCAAATCTCGAGACTTGTGGATGCCCTGACATTTGTTAATTTTCCCAACAAACCACTAACCGATCTAACATTCTTTCGCTGGAGTAGCTTACATGGGAGCAAGGTCTCCGCATTTATTCAGCGTACAGGCTTCATCATCAAACCACGCCCAGACTTGTACAACTACAGGGTGTCCCAAAAAAAAAGACACCGGCCGCATTTCTCTATTTCACGTCCGATCAACCTGAAATTTTGCATAGAGGTAGCGAAGCCAATTTCCCATGAACACAGAAAGTATCAGCCCCATCGGTCAGCGGGTTTTAAAGTTATAACGAAAATACTTTTTATTTTTTATTTAATATGGAGACCTCTGCAATTTGCATCAAAAATGTGCGTAATTTTGTGATTTACGAGCTGATTTTGCATAATTTTTGCCGAAAAAGGCCATTTGCTGTTTTGCGCTTCGTAAATACGATTGCGCATGGGAAGTAAAAATGACCCACAAAAGCGTCAGATATAAAAAACCAGTATTGTAACCAGCGTTCACCGGTTGTTTTAATTTATTTTTCGGCTTACGCATAGATTTAAAGCCTCGATTTTAATTTAAGCATTAATTTGGAGCTGGTCGAACGCTGGGTCGAGTCCAAGGCAGGTCCAACTGACCAAAACTTCAATAAAATGTGTTTGAGTGCTCAAAAAACTGTTGTTTTCACGGTACTTTGTTTGTCATGCGCAATCGTATTTACGAAGCGCAAAACAGCAAATGGCCTTTTTCGGCAAAAATTATGCAAAATCAGCTCGTAAATCACAAAATTACGCACATTTTTGATGCAAATTGCAGAGGTCTCCATATTAAATAAAAAATAAAAAGTATTTTCGTTATAACTTTAAAACCCGCTGACCGATGGGGCTGATACTTTCTGTGTTCATGGGAAATTGGCTTCGCTACCTCTATGCAAAATTTCAGGTTGATCGGACGTGAAATAGAGAAATGCGGCCGGTGTCTTTTTTTTTGGGACACCCTGTAAACCTGTCTTAAATAGCATCGGCCAATATAAGTTTTCCAAGCCCATACTTTAGATTGCTTTGGCTCTCAGATTTTCACTCAAACCCGTTTTTTTTTATTTTCACATTAATTGCGTAACGCGGCAACTAAATCACAATCACGCATCATTCGGTAAACTAGAACAATCACAACAGTTCAATCACAGCCGTACACAGAATTGTATGCATTCAAATTGGGGTCTAGTAGAAGCCTTGTTCCTTGACTCGAGCCAATAGCTGGCGGCCGATGACCAGGCGCTGGATCTGCGAGGTGCCCTCGTAGATTTGGAAGATCTTCGCGTCGCGCATCAGCTTCTCGACTGGGTACTCTGTGTTGAAACCAGCGCCACCGAAAACCTGAAAAATGCAAGTAAACTAGGTGCTGGCTCGTTATGGAGGGGGGATCAGGAACACAGTTTTTTCCGTAGCCGCAAAGAGGAAAAACTATCTCAATAGTATCTGACAGTTTTTAGACACAACGTGCAAAAAGTATTAAAATGTTCACTTATTAGTCAACACTATCGACAATTTTGAGTTGTTATGTTTATAAACTTTAATCATCATAATGAGCTAAAAACACGCGTCACTTTATCTTTCAGAAAAAAGGTTATATAAGAAACGTTAGACTGAATAAAGGAAATTGGTCGCCCCACTAAGCCCCCGTTAGTGAACAAGAACCGTAAAATAATCAACGTTTCGTTAATTTATCTAAATTTTATTAAAATTAAAGTTCCGCACCTGTACGGCATCAGCAGCCGTCTTGTTCAGCGTGTCGGCGGCAAAGGCCTTGGCAATGGAGGCGTAGTAGGCACCCGGACGCTCAAGGTCCACCTCATAAGCGCTACGGTATGTCATCAACTTGGACAGCTCGAGGTGGATGGCCATGTCGGCGATCATGAAATTCACAGCCTGAAATTTTTCATGAAAAACCAGAAAGACAAAAAATACCTGGAAGTTGGCAATTTGCGTGCCGAACGCCTTACGTTCCAGCGAGTAGCGGGCCGCTTCATCGAGACAGCTAAAAATGGGACAGTCTTGGGTAGGGATAATGCTATTACCGATGCGCCAGTCCGCAAGCCATCGCAGCCACCATCGGCCGGGTCTTGTCGAATGTTTTCATCGCTACCTAAAAAGATAGGGAATCAAAGCTGCGATAAAATTACCAAAAATCCTTTCCCGGGCTCACCGACGATATTTGCAGCAGGGACGCGAACATCCTCAAAGGTCACCCCACGAGTATCCGAGCACCGCTGGCCCATGTTGATCTCTTTAACAGCTTTTAAAAGGTGCAAAATAACTTTACCTTTCTTTCCACGGATGATGCCAGGGGTGTCTCCCTCTACGGCAAATGCGGTGAAGGCCTTGCTTGCCGGAGTCTTCGGGTTCGGATCCGAGCGGGCCAACACGAAGAACCTAAATAGGTTCTGTGCAACGCTACGAAATCGCTAACCAATTGGCGTGTCCGGCGTTGGTAATCCACATCTTGCTGCCGTTGATGATGTATTCATCGCCTGAGCAGTAAGTTGCATAATTTGCGAAAAAATATTACCTTTCTTCTCGCATTTTGTCTTGATCCCGGCCACATCCGATCCACCACCCGGCTCGGTCACTCCGTAGGACTAAAGTTCGATTAGGGAAAAGCTAGCACAAAAAATACCGCAACCAGGGGCTCCTCAATCATGCGGCCCAGGAAGCGCTTCTTGATGTCGTCATTGGCAGCGATGATCAGCGGCGTCTCGGCCAGCTCGTTGGTCAGGATAGCCGTGGTGATACCCGTGCATCCATACGCCAACGACTCCACCAGAAGCGAGGAGGCCACCGAGGACAGCCCGAGTCCGCCTGAAAAAGTTGTTAGGAAATACTGCAAAAATTCTAATAAAACAAAACAAACTATTTTCAAGCCTCACCGACGTCCTGCGGGATTGTGCCGTTGACAAAACCAAGGGCGTGGGCCTTCTTGAGGATATCCCAGGGGTATTCCATCGTCTGGTCATATTTAGCAGCCACCGGGATGATGACGTCCTGGGCAAACTTCTTGGCGGTCGCCTGCAGCTCCTTTTGTTCGTCGGTAAACTCTGAAACAGCAAAAGAATAGGAATCTCCTTAGCCAAGATTACCGAAGCAGAGGCCGCTGCTGCTGAGGCGCTGCCCGATGCCGCGGGTGAGTGAGGGCGTGTAGCGCAGCATCTCTCTGGAAATGAAGATAAGCTGATTTGTTTTTGGCGAAATCTGAGATTGATGAAAATGGTAGCATGGAAAGGAAACATTCAAAGGGCCAAAAAGCAACCAAATGCGTTTCATTGAAACTTAGGAGGGGCCAATACGATTTGGAAGCCCAGGATTGGCCTGGTTATGTTTAGCGATGGAAAAAAAGGGTAGGTATAACCCACCAGAAAACCAAGCACGAACCCAAGCTGCGAAGCGTAAATCTAAGAAATTTGGCCGTAAACCGGAACGAAAACAAAGCGGCCACATGCTATTTGTATATTAAAAAACTACGATAGAGTTAGAAGATAAAAGAAATAAAAACTAATAATAAAAGACGGCCAATCTCAATCGTAGGACCTCACAAATTGAAGTCGAAAAAGCTTTTCAGTTTCAACGCTGGCTTGGCAACATGGAAAAGTTTTCTAGAGAAGAATCTGAAGACAAAGAACTTTTAATAGATTTGTGGCCCTAAAGAGGGCCGTTGGGTTGGATTTTCATTCATACATCGTGTATTCGCAGATTAGCCGCCGAATCCGTAGAGGGTGCGGCCTTGGCGTTTCAGGGCGTAGACGACGTCCATGGCCGTAACAGTCTTGCGCTTGGCGTGCTCGCAGTAGGTGACAGCGTCGCGGATCACGTTTTCGAGGAACACCTTGAGGACGCCGCGGGTTTCTTCGTAGATGAGGCCAGAGATGCGCTTGACGCCTCCACGGCGGGCGAGTCGGCGGATGGCGGGCTTGGTGATGCCTTGGATGTTGTCGCGGAGGACTTTGCGATGGCGTTTGGCACCTCCTTTGCCGAGTCCTTTTCCTCCCTTGCCACGTCCAGACATTCCTTCAGATTAGAGCTTCGTCGAATTCGAACGATAGATTCTAGGCGGAAATTTGGGGCCTTTTATAGGCTGAGGCCACGCCCCTTTTCCGCAAATAGGCCACGCCCCTTTTCTTTAAACGCCTATAAAAGCCGCCGTTTCTCATTCCAGAGTTTCACCTATTTTTCGCACTTCTCGAGAAAATGGCACGCACGAAGCAGACGGCTCGCAAGAACAACAACACCGGAGGAAAAGCACCAAGAAAACAACTCGCAGCCAAGGCCGCCCGCAAGTCGACCCCAGCCACTGGAGGCGTCAAGAAGCCCCACCGTTTCCGCCCGGGTACCGTAGCCCTCCGCGAGATTCGTCGCTATCAAAAGTCCACCGAGCTGCTCATACGCAAACTGCCCTTCCAACGCCTCGTCCGCGAGGTCGCCCAAGATTTCAAGACGGACCTCCGTTTCCAATCGTCGGCTGTGATGGCGCTCCAAGAAGCATCCGAGTCTTACCTGGTCGGACTCTTTGAAGACACCAACCTTTGCGCCATCCACGCCAAGAGAGTCACGATTATGCCAAAGGACATCCAGTTGGCTAGGCGCATTCGTGGCGAGCGCTCGTAAGCAGCACTGCGTTAACAACCCTAATTAAACCCAACGGCCCTCTTTAGGGCCACAATTTTGACCTTCTAAAAACTTTGTCAAGTATGGCGGTGTGAATTGAGGACTGAAGCTTATAGTTTTCTACCGCTTTCTCCCGATTGTCGGGAATTGCTCGGTTATTTTGTCGAAAAGGTGAAAATGCGCCCAGTACGCCCTGAAAGAAGTAGCATGTGTGCTTGAGGAGAGGGTATCCGAGCAAGCGCGCTTCTCAAACCTGTGGTTCTTTTGCACTATCGGGGGGGACAAGTTAACAAGGCGACATTTTGGTCGAAATATTGTGGTTCATTGTAGTTTTCACGTTTAAGAATGCTAAAAAAATAGCTCGGAAACACTTCCGCTATTTATATTTGAAGAATCGGCGGGTCCTCAGGAAATAAAGTTTATGTCCCCCCCCCCCACGTTAATGCGAAAGAACCAAAGGTTACAAGCTTCTAGAAAGCGCACCCCAATACGCCACCGGAAATTGGCATGTAATTGTGCATTTTGCTGCGGCTCTCATACGACTCTTTCGCACGCACGGGGTGCACCGGGCGTATCTCGTGTAGCTTTCTGGTCTTGTTTGCTCATCAATGATCGACACAAGTTTCATCTTTATAAACCGCAAGCATGTAGTAATCGTGGATTTAAGGAATTTCATGGGGATTCTCAGGAATCTCCTGGCTCGGACAGGGCGTCGAGCAGCTTCTCCGCCTCTTCGATGTAGCCCTCGTCGGTGAGGTTGTTCGGTTGCAGGTCGAGGATCTGAATTCGCGAATAATGTTTTTTAATGAAAAACCTAGATAGAAGCGTCCGCCCATAATTGCGCAAAATAATGGAAATCCTTATTTCAGCTGGTACTTATCGTCCTTATTTGACCAGCTTCCAGACCTGCTCGAGGAAGTGGCGCATATTCTCGTAGTCGCCGAGCCCCTCATAGCATTTGGCGATGAACAGCAGATTATCGATGGCCGTCGGCTCGAACTCGTTGGCGCGCAGCAGATCGGTGAGCGCCCGCTCGAACGTCGCTTTGGGCACGTTTAGCGATTTGCTAGGATTTGTATTTGTCGTTATTACACTTTAAACCCACCACTCATCCTCGGACAGCTTGGCCGTGTTGTAGGCGAATCGCCCGCGGATATGGAAAAGCACATGGTCGTTGGGCATCATTTTGCAGGCTGCTTCGAGATATTCCTAAAATCGAGCGGGTACGGGTAATACCCCGTAATAAAGCGATACCTTGAATTCATAGAGGCGCTTCGGGTCGCGTTCGGCCTCGGCCAAGGTGGCGCTCAGCATGGTGCACAGCTTGAGGATGACAGCGTTTTCTGGCTTGAGTTTGCTGGCTTGTTTCGCGATGTCGTAGGCTAGAAGGGCATCTATTGTTACTGGTAAATTAGGAAAATGTAGAAATAGCCGAAAGCTATTGTGCTACTTTACTATACCTTGACTGGTAAAATAAAAAGTGCCAAAGTTATAGTTTTTATTAATTTCATAATAACACAAATGAAAATTATCGAAATAACAGCATTATTTTGTGCGCTACCTTACACATACCTCGGTTAATTAAACGAACACGTTAAATAGATACCCTTTTACTTAGTAATTAGCAAAACAGGCTAATTTTACAAAAAATTTAGAAGGTAAGGTATAAAAATAACAATGATAATTTTAGATATACCTTCCCACCCCCAATATACCTCTCTTAATAAGCTCCAGCCGCCCGGACACAGCGCTGTGCATGTACGTGTCGAAGGCGGCGCGCCCAAACCGAGCCACAAAGTTGATATATTGATCCTTGGACAGCGTCTGCTCGATTCGCGTCATCTTCGCCTGGGCGTCCTTAGCCGGCATCTCGCCCAACATCTCGTCGTACACCCAGGCAGAGACTAGAGGCGACGTGTCCGACGCCAGAATGTCTTCCTAGGTATTGAAATGGTGATGTTGTCGCCAAAATTGATACGTCAATCAGCGGACGGCCGTCGAACACATCAGGAGACGTGCTCATCCTGCGGGGAGGTAGAGGGGATAATGAAAAATTTTGCGGGTTACGTAGAAATAGTTAATCTTATGCTAATTCAGCCTGCAAAATCCATTAGGGGGACATCCACGATGTTTCTAAACTGTTGTATGCTATTCCGAAACATCAACTTTCCAAATTTCGCCTCGAAAAAGACTAAAAACACCCATTTACCGGCCAAAATCTGCAAGTTTTAGTTTTCTTAATCGTTTTACCACTTGAAATATGACTGAATTTTAATAAAAACGATTAAAAGTCTCGGGATTAGGTGGCAACGAAAATTTCCTAAGTATCACTTACTTTTATATTAGTTTTCTTGTTTGTTTGATTCCGTTTGTGGCCCTAAAGAGGGCCATTGGGTGAAGCGCCGCTAAAACTCCATGTTTTTCAGATTTGTTCAATTCCGGCTTCCCAACGCCAAAAAAGTGGGCGGGGCTTGCTACATGCCCCCAGGCTACGCCAACGGCCAAAAGTGGGCGGAGCCTGCCGGACTCTCCCAAGCCCCGCCCCCTCCCGTCCCGACTATAAATAGAAAATCTCTCGTTTTGCATTTTACCTGCACTCGCACAAGTCTGAAGCCATGTCCGGAAGAAGCAAGGATAGCAAAGCCAAGGCCGCCGCTACTGCCAGAGCCGGCAAGGCCAAGTCAGCCTCCAGCCACAAAACCACCAAGTCCATTCGCGCTGGTCTCCAATTCCCCGTTGCCCGTCTGCACCGCATGCTGCGCAAGGGACGATTCTCTGAACGTGTCGGCACCGGCGCCCCCATCTACCTGGCCGCCGTCCTCGAATACCTCACCGCTGAAGTGCTTGAACTGGCCGGCAACGCTGCCCGTGACAACAAGAAAAGCCGCATCAACCCCCGCCACCTTCAACTTGCAATCCGCAACGATGAGGAGCTGAACAAACTCCTCAGCGGCGTCACGATCTCGCAGGGTGGTGTGCTGCCGAATATTCACGCCGTGCTGCTGCCGCAAAAGACTGCCGCTCGCGCCCACGACCAGACGGACGATTAGGCGTTGAAGTCGCATGATGAATACCCAAACCCAACGGCCCTCTTTAGGGCCACAAATCTATTCAAAAAATACTTTTTTAGCGGAAATGGAACTATTGGCTTGAATCAGAGTCAGTCGAGCTTACAGGGAAAAGAAAGTTGAAGTTGTGCTTGATCCCGAACGGTCTTTTGGGATTTTGTTAGTCTGTTGTTACTATCGGCTCATGTCTACACTTTTTAAAGCTTTTTCGCAATTTTTAGTTTCACAAAGCTTTAAAGCGTGGATTTGGCTTAGCTTTAGGCCAAGCGACCCAAGCCATCCCCGGCTTATCCCCCGCGTCTTATCGGCTTCAAACCCTCGCAATATCGCTATCTCGTAGTTTAGCCACAATCTGACCCCCCCTCCCCCTTTCTAGTTTTTGTGATAGAATACACGCCTTCCTTGGGCATCTACCAACTGTTTCATGGATATCGGCTCGTGTCATTTGGCCTCTCACGCATTACATGTCGATATGGGGGGACAGGGGCCCCGTCGACGAGTCGACCCGTGCTTTGGCTCCAATTCTGGCCAACCGGACCCCTTTTATCCTGGCCATGCACGTGACAGTGATGTGAAATTGGGCCCAACTTGTTGTTTGGGGCCTTTTGTAGGGTAGAAACCTTTAGAAACCACCCGGGCTTCTTCTAACGAGACAAAAGTACCTGATTCCGTGATTCCTATGATTTCATAACACCTTTCATCCGCTGAAAATCTTCTTTTTCGCCTTAAAAAGCTTTAAAAATACCCTCTACTTTATAAAAATCGGAAAAGAACCTGATTTGTAGATGCCTATGTTTTCATAATACTTTCCAGCTTGGTTAGGACTTGTATCCTCATCAAAAACGTTTGAATTTCAGGTATTGGCCACGATGACGGTCCAATCACTCGAAGATTTAATCACAGCATTACTGGAATCTTTATCGACAGCAAATGAAGATGGGAAATCAGAGGTTAGCTAGAGTTTATCATCCTAAACTGGCTTCAGGTGGCCGAGGCTATCATGACGATCGGCCAAAATCAGCCGAAAACCACGCTGAAGGCGATTCATGCGTATTTGATACACCACAATCGGGTTTGTCCAATTTTTCTTCTTTACAAATGAGAGTTTAGTTACCGCCAAGTCTCCGATCCTTCCTGCTACGATCTGTCAATGATATCCTATCCGGGCCGGTAAGTACTTTTTTTAGAGGCTTCATCTTTGTTCAGAAAATTCTGGACACTATCGATGAGCAGATGATTTTACTGATCATCAATTTGACGACGCAAGAAATGACGATGACAAAGGTGCATTAATTTAATTTAATTTAAATTTGTTAATTTGTTCAGGACGTCGACCTTGAATGGGCTGATGCGGCCAGAGATCTTTTGGTAACAATTGGAAAGCACAAGAAGCATGTTGGAAATGTGCTCGATGCAATTTTGCAGGTTTCGCTGGGTTTTTTTTAACTAATTTGTCGTTCCAGAAATTTCCTCCCGGTCTCACAACATCTCCGCACCGCTATGTTGTTGTTAGTCTGGGGAAGATCGCCGCACACAATGGTGCGCACTTTTTAGAACGATCAAGCCTGTTTTTTTTTCAGCGCAAGGCTTCGTCCCTTTCCTCACGGATGTTCTTTCTCGAACCGTGCCCTTATTGAATGGGATGAAGGGAGATCCGCTTAGGTAAGTATCCCCAGCCTTAAAAGGGTGATAACGCGATCCTAGAGCCTCGTGGGCCCGTGCAATCTGCTCATTTTGCGAGGCAGTTCGAGAATGTGAATCTTCTGTTCAAGGTATGTTTCAGGCACGCTAGCGAGACGATTTTAATTTTTATGAAACTTAGTTAGAGTTATTATTTATTTGTTTAGAAGTTAAAGAGGATTCCGATGTGCTTGATGATGATGGAATTTGTGCCAATCGGGTCACCTATTGCGACCAGTTTGAGACCGTTTACGAGGCTGTCTTTCTTTGGATGAGCTCGAAGGATCCAAAGGTGTTTCAACAATTTGGTGATGGTATACGTTTCTGAATTGTAGGTCCGAGCTGAGGCCGCGGAATGCGTTGGTGAACTTTGCCTGATGATTCGAAAGCAAAAGGTATTTAAGTTATCTAAGCTTCCCTATTTTTCCCTAGTTAATCGACGATCTGAAGAAACTGGTCTCCACACTTCTCGGCTTGTACAAAAAATCTTATGGAGAACATCACACGATTACCCAGGTTTTGATTATTGATCGGCATCGCAAATCATTGGTTATTTAGGGTATCTGCCGATTCCTCGAAGTAACCTGTATGGATGACACGGTACCCCTGGACGCGTATCTCGACGAAATTCTGGCGGCCCTCTTCCCGAATACTTGCCTCGACCCCGATGATACAAGCGGCAACCCATCCCAAACTGCCATCAAAAATCATTCCGAAGCTTTTCGCTGCTTCCATGTCGCGGGTAAGATTACTTCTGAAGCCACTAAACCCCGAGTTTAGCCGCCCGCTTCGCCGACCGGATCGTCTATTTTCTTCTGCATAAAATGCAGCACAACCAAGACATGCAGAAGCTGGGCGCGATAAATGTGATGCGTCACCTTCTGAATTCCTCAGGTTGGAAGCCAAAAATGTGTTTTTCGGTCGGGGTTTTCCAGGGGACGAAACTTTTTCTAGCAACCGAATTTTGCTAGTATGGATAAAGGAAAGATTTCCATGCATGCCGTTTTTGATACATCAGAAGCTTTTTAAATTTGGATCGAAGATACTAAAAATCCAGTTTTCCGGTTAAAATAGAACTAATGAACTAAAAATTTCTTTAACCAGTGTTATATTCCTATTTCAGGCGCCTACATGGAGGATAAGCGATCGTTGGTGATGATGGGGTTGAGGAAATTGCTGGCAGTGGAGCACGTAGCCACGATACGAGTCAAGAGGTGGATCCAAGTTTTACTCTTTCGCCCCATCCACAAGAGCGTACATGTGATGATGGATCAAATACAGATCCCGCGTCGCAGGTGCAATTTTCTATTTTAAGCAGACCGCGCGGATGATGAGTTTTATGGTAGTAGAGATTTCGCGGGAATTCCCCTGTAAATTCGACGTTTTCAGGGCGATAGTGCAACTCTGCGTGGCGCTCTCCGACCACGCGTACGTCGACGCGGAGGGCGGGCAGCATGTCATTGCATTTTTGGTTCGGAATTTGATCAACCAACCGGACGATCAGGTACATAATCGCTTCGAGATGGCTTCAAAAAGACGCCTTGAGCGGTCCGAAGGAATGTCCGATTTTTACGATATAAGATCAGCCAAAAGCTTAAAAACTGAAGAGATACATGCTCTTGGATTTTTGGAATTTTGAGATTTTCGTTAGATTTTTGCCAAGCGTGACAAATTACCGAGGTTTTTCATTAAAAGGCCTTGAAAGCCTACAATTTCCACATTTTTATGCTTTTTTTGTAGCAAAATGCCCGTAGTAAAAGAATCTAAGCGAAAATATCCTTCGTTATATCGAGATCTTGCCATTGATGCCCAAACGAAAATTGATTCTCCGGACCGCTATTGTGGGTATTTTGCGCGGTAGTTGCTCTACGTACGCCTACGTTTTCAGACGGCCAAACGCGCCGCTACCGACGATGTCGCAGGACTGAATCAACTGCGAACCCAGTGCGCGCAAGCTCTCCACACCATCACATCAACGTGCGTATGCGCGGATAAGGTACCACGCCGCCGTTCCGATATTTCTGACACTACGGCTTTCAGCTTCTCTGGCCGTACCTGCTCGAGTTCCTCTGCGTCAAGGAGTACACCCCGGTGCTGGCCGATCTCTGCAAATGCCTCCGTACCCTGCTGGCCAAGGCTCGAGAAGCCGGGAAACCGCTCGACTTCACCGACGGGTTTGATAACGGTTGATTTTTTGGAAACTACGGTGATTGCCCAATTCTATTCTACGCAAGCGTTGATATATGAAATCTCACGGAAACATGTGGATTCTATTAAATAAATCAAATATTATTGATTTTCGCATAACTGCCTTTCTACAGGTTAAATTAATACAATTTCACACAAAAAAATGTAGATTCAACCGAAAAAATACATGTTTAGAACGTGTGCCCGGAAAATACCAAGTCCTCGCCCGGCTGATCGTCTCAATGTGTGGAGCACCGCTGAATGGCCTTCTTGGAAGGTATATAATTTTTATTATACCGTAAGCTTTTCCAGACGCGCTCGTGAATCCCTGGGTCTATTCCGCGAAATCGCTGACTGGCTGCACCCTGGCATCGCGCAAATCGTTGAACGATACGAGAAGACGATGGAACCGCTTATTGACGGTAAACAAATACAAATAAAATATTTATTTTTGGGCTTTTAGAGCTTTCCACGACAACCTGGTCAAATGAGACGCAATCTAGTGGTGAGGCAAGGTGGCGCAGAGTTGGCAGGTTGGATTTGGCATTTTTCTTAATTTTTGAAGCCTAATTTTTTGAACTGATTTGATTTTGAATTTTTGATAATTTTTTTCTCGGTAAAACCTAGCCCGATTTAGATGGCACGACACCGTCCTCGATCTACTCTCGGCCACTGTTTCCATCGTCAATGAGGGCGAATGGCGGCAAGAAGTTGCGGCGGCATTTGGCAAGCAGCTCGACCTCTACAAGGACCAGCAGCACGAAAAGGCATTCGCCCTCCGTTGTCTCGGCACCACACTTTCTTTCATCACCAATCAAACGTTCATCATCGACCACATTTTGTTGATGTTCCGGTTGGTTTCGTTTCGCAATAGTAGTAAAATTATTGGTGCTTATCTTTTAGCGGCTTATCTTTTCTCCAGCAATCCGCTGCGGTATTTTCGAATAAGGAATTTGAAATAATTTTTCAGGCGTTTGTAGTATAGAATTTATACGGTTTTATTGCTAAACCACGGGTAGAACTTAAAAAATTGTTCGAAAATTGTTTCAAAATTAACAGAAATATCAAATTTGAAAATTAAGCATTATTTTTGCGATTTCCTAGTAATCAAAAATTACTACAAAACTCGGCACAATAATGAGTTGCCCACGTCCCCCGCTAAAGCAGAAGCTTTCAATTTTCCTATTCTGTTCAGATCCACCAACCATTCGGTCGCTGCCGAGCGTGTCGGTTGTGCTCGTGGAATTGGGGTGATTGCGAAATGCCACTCGGATTTGGTGCTGGTACGCGAATTTTCATCACTCTTCTAAGCTTTTTAGATTCAACTTGAAAACGTGAGCAAATGGGAATTTTCGCGCAAGAGCCAGGGCTTTTTTGGCTTTATAAAGGTAGATCCTGATTTAGATATAGGAAACTTTATATTTAGGGCTACACGTACACGGATCTGGATATGGTACAACTGCGAGCGACGCTGATGCTCTGCTATGGTCACGTGGTCGCATCACTACCCTTGGATGCTGTAACGCAAAGAATTGAGCAGACCGTCTTCCCATTTTTACGGACTTATATGGCAAATCAAAAGGTAAATTAGCTTTTCAAGCAGTAGTCAACTTTTTTACAGCAAGAAGTCGTCGTCCGTGAATGTCTGCTGGAGACGATACGGCTGATTGCCGAATCGGTGCACCCGCTGCGTCTCGGCTCCGAGTACACGCTGGAAAACCGCGGCGAATTGTTGATCTACATCAAGGTAAAAACCAAGTTAGAGGAATTGTGGTAAAGCAGTGGGCCCAAACATTGCGTTTTGATGGCACAAATAGATGTATTTGTAGACTAGAAGAGCCTTTAATAAATCAAAAGACCTGGCGAAAGGCCAAAAACACATTTTGGTGAGCCAAAAAGATACAAAAAAGTTTTTTTTGCTAGTCGAAGCCGGCCTTTTCTGCGGCGAAAAAGCCGAAAAGAACCTTTTCTAGGCCAAGCGATTCTAATTTTCTCGTTTAGGACTACGTACAAATGGAACTTTCCGAAACGGTCTCCAGCTGTATACGTCTACTGGCCTGCCGAGCCGTCGCGGCCCTCGTGTAGGCCAGCATTTTTGGGCCAATTTATGCTCCCTTTTCAGCCGCCTACCACCACGCCTACCCGAGAATGACATCTGGGAATTCGGCAACATTCTGATGAAGGCCATCCTCCCGATTTGCCGCGAGAAAAGCGGCCTGAAAACGGTGATTTCGAAAAACTGGAAGTTATTTTGTTTTTAGGCATTTGAGCTGGACCAGTGGGGCTCGGTCAAATCGCCGGTTGGACCGTTGAGCCCCGTCCAGTCGACCAGCGATTTGTTTGCTGGCCAGAAGAGCAAAGCGAATAAAAGGGTACGATGTCTAGGAAATTTTGAATTCTGTTTTAAATTCTGTCCAGCGGGCTGGCACTAAAACAAATTCTTTAGATGTCAAAATCGTTTTTTTTAATTGTCTATTTTTAGATGGAAGAAAACGACGACTCGTCGACAATCATGGAATCTACAGTAAGCCAGCTTGGCGTCGCTTTGGCCGCGATTATTCGAAAGGCGCCTGTGCTCGGCACCGCCACGACATTGCTTAGGGTTTGTATTTTCGCTCATTTTAATTATGGTAATGTCGAGTACCGTATTTCCTCTAAGAAATGCCGCGTTTTCTTTTTTTGATCAGCTCGAAAAGATATATGCTTTTTAGTTACTTCAACCATTCTACGGAAACCCTGCCGACCATGAGCGGACCCGTGCCGTCGACCTCAGCGCCCTCGTACTACGCGTCTATTTTGAAGCCGCTGAAGATATTCAACTAGGGGTTGGTCTCGCATTTTTTCAGTTCAAGGATTATTTTTCAGCGCGCTAACGACTTCCCGCCCCTTTCCTCGCTCTTGGCTCGTCTAACGCCCCGCGTCGCAGATTCTCTGCACGGCGTCCGCTCCGAGGCCATCAACATCATCCACCTGGCCCTCCGTCTCGCCCACATTTTCAAGGGGCACCCGAGGGATTCAGATCCCGATATATTCTCCATTCAAGAATTCCACGAACGCCATCTGACCGAGGAGGGAAAGTTAGATGGGCAATCGGCCAAGAAGGCCATCAAGCAAATGGCGCAGGTAAATTCAGAAGGAAGAGCTGTTTTTATTTTGGTTTAGGTGATTGAAGCGCATCTGCCGTCGTCCCAAATCCAGACATATCTATCGGCATTGTTTGACATGCTGGCGGATCGTCAGAGCCAAGTTTCGTCGGCCGCCGCCCAGTTACTGGCGCATTCATTGAGTTGTCGAGGTGCCGGGTTGGCCAATGAGGTATTTATTATCGCACATTTCTGAGCTAGCATTTAGGGAGCGACGCTCGTTTCGTCGATACTGGAGAAGCTGCCGCAAATACATGGCTGTGTTCAGACGTTCGTTTTGTACATACAATTTATCTTCTTTATACATGGTTTTTGTATGAAATCGGCGATGTTTTTACGAAAATGGCGATTGTATTGGAATTTGGGATCATCGGGGATTCAAAAAAAAATAGCACTAAGATGGAGTAATAGTAAGAACCCCGATTTAATACAAAATTGGGATTTTTGGGATTCCAGGGGATTTAAAAAATGGTACTAAAATGTTCTAATAGATCGATTTCCTACAAAATCCCGATTACCGCGATTAGATACACTTTTTTAAATGTGCCGAGCAAGTTAGCAGAATGATTTATTCGGCTGATTTCAGTTGAAGAGTTTCAGTCTTTTTTTTTCGTAAAAAAATTAACTTGTATTTTCCTTCCAGGTACACTGACATCCTTGCCGCCCTATGCGCCCTCTACTCTCACCAACAACACATTGTCATCGACGTCCTTCTCGAACAACCGCTGCCCTACACACCGTAAATTAGTACTCTCTTGAAATGACCAATTTTGTCCAGACAATTGGTCGATGTTTGGGAATGCATTTCAAGGGAGCGCACGCTATTCCCCGGCCTCATCGACTACATCTTGGAATTATTGATGGAGAGTTTTAATGCGCCATACGAGGTTCGTTTGCCCAATTTAACATTATACTCATAGATTTTTTATTGATTTATGGCATTTAGCTTGTCGATATCGGTGGCGGGAGCTCGGTGCGGGTGTGTAACCCTCAGCCGCTCGTCTACTGTGCCGCTCTAACGGAAGTGTTCAAGGTGGGTGGGTTTTCGTTGGAGATGATCTGGGCTTCAGGGTGGCGAGCCGGAGAGCGCGATCGAGGAGCGAGTTCCGGTACTTCTGGCTGCCCTGTTGCAACTGCTTACCTCGATTTCTGGGGCTCAATTTCCGGTCATACAGAAGGAGACTAAGGACGTGCCCGGTAAGTGGACTTTTGTTACTTTATTTTACCAACTTTTCTGTTTCTTTGCCCTTTTAAATGTTTTTTTTCCAGGCAGCAAAGTCCTCCAGATCACCCCCGACCTTCGCCGAGCGATGGAAAAGCCAGCCGGACTGGCGGCGAACGCGATCCGTGTCTTGCTACAGGTAACAAAATTTTTTCAGAACACTCGTGTTTTTAGCGAATGCGCCTCAACGAAATCATCGAGGAGATGAACGCCGGAAGATCGTGGTCTGAGTGTCTCGACAACAACAACTTTTTGAACGCGGTATTTCGTGACTATCATTGGCTTCAACTTTCTCTAGATGGCCACCCTCACCTGTGCCGTCGTTGAACACATGCCAAAATGGGCTGAACCGCTCGCCGACCGATTGATGGAAAAGGTGGGTTTTATATAAATATTGAAACTACTTTAATTTTTACTTATATGAAAGATAAATTCTAACGAGATTTGAAGGATCTAGGTGATAGAGATATAATATAAACTGTCTGAGCTTTTAGATAACATCCCCTCATGAACCTCTTCGACTCACCGCCGTCACCGTCGTCTCTGCACTCATCAAAAAGTGACGAAATCAATTTAATGTTTATTTTGTAATTAAGGTCACCAAATCACGACGGAGATTTTGACCAGCGCCTACTCGTCGATTGTGTCAACGCCCTCCAAAATACACTCAAGGACGAGAGCCTGAGGATCAGAAAGGTGAGCCGCACTTGCCTATTGGGTTCTGGTTTGTTGAGGGGGCGGGGGGGCGGGAGCTTAGCAGGGCAGAAAAAGTTTTCTCATGTTCCCATAGACGTAGAATAATGAGTATGAACTTTTTACTTGCATGGCAGAACGCAAAATTCATAGAAAACGTAGAAAAGCTTCGAACTTTTTTTGAATGTTTGGTGAAAAATTAAAATAGTCTTATTATTCTATTACGGTATCATTTCAGCTTTGCGTGCGTGGCCTCGGCGAATTGGGAGAATGCGTGAGCTCGGAATGTGCAGCCCGCTTCACCGCCCTTGCCGTCGTCGCGTCGATGCAGGCGCTAGACGACATCGGCGATCGACGGGACGAGGTGGCGATGGAGGCGATATTGTCGTTGAACAAGCTCGTGCGACGCGCCGACGACAAGCAGCTCAGCCAGATTTTGCCGCAAGTGCTGCTGAAGATACGGCCGTGCTTCGAAAAGGTGAAAAAAATAGATTTTGCTTACCTAAATTTGTATAGGATTCCTCCGCTCTGCGTGCCGCCTCATTTTCACTATTTGGAGAATTGGGTCGACGTGTTGGCCAGGTATCAAGTAAAACGTTTTATTTCACATTTTTTGTACAGAATAGCGCCGATTTTCTGGCACAATTGCAAACGAATATCGTCTCCATTCTGCTGCATTATGGAGAAGAAGAAGCACTGGTACAACAGGTACACTTAAGTTACTTATGAGTTTCTTTAAACCTTTATTTATCATTATCTTTATGATTTTAAAACGTAAAAATGGACCTTCTTTTGGTGTAATTTTGCAATGGCACAGCTTAATAAATTAAAAACTTTAAAATTCATTAACATTCTTCAATTCATGGCGCACGTTTTAAGTTTTATCACTACTGGTTTATTAATATACAAATTTTATCACCACGTTTTTAGGCATGCGGTATCTGCCTACGCTCTGTCTGCCCCCTATTATCCACCGACATCGCAGCCCAACTGGCCGAACGGTCAATTAATGCGAACGGGTCGCCAGCGGTCTCCTACTACACTTTCCAAAAGGAAATGGCATTGCTATTGGTAAGTAATTTTTTTTGTATTTTAATATTGTTATGTTTGCCATTTTCCAAATTATTGTTCAACTTTCCAGGCACTGTCATATCCGGATCACGTCAATTCTTACGGCCTCACCTGCTCCAACTATTTCAAGGCTACTTCCAGCATCATTCGAGGTTCGCGTTTTTGGTTACGGATTCTTTACGATGTTTTTGCCATTGCGTGTCACGGATGGCAAAATTTATGACGAAAAATCGCCACTAAAATTCACAGAATGCCTTGATCGTCCCTTTAAAGCTCACGTCCAGGCACGTGCTACGTAAGCGCCTAATGACGCAGATAACGCAAACGTAAATAGGTACTCGCGTAGCACCATACCGTAGCACTTGCGCTTTAAATTTAAAATAGTAAAATAAGGCTAAAATTTAAATATTCGGAATTTTCAGTGAACGCTGCCCATCTGATCGGGCACCTTCTCGGCTGTCTGACGGCCCCACTGCGTGCAACCATTAGCAAAGAACTCATCTTCACGGGTCTCGTCGCGTTGCTGAAGGATGATAGCATCTTTGTCCGCATCGCCGCCACAAAAGCCATATCCCAATTGCACCATTTCTCGTAAAAAAATATATGTAGATCCGTGTGTTAATTCGATGTGCTTTATTAGGTTGCACATTTCCAAATAGCCATTTTTCCAAAATTTCGAATAGGCATTGCTCTATCAAAACATTCCAGTCATTCCAGCTATCATCCACCCCATTCCGCCATCCCTCCGAATCATTCTCTTCCCTGCACTAGTCACTTACCAATTGTCATGTTCGTCACATCGACATCTCCCCCTTCCGCTTTCTGCCTTTCTTTTCATGCCAAAGCCGTTGCTACGGATATTTTATGTGATTTCTCTGCTCCAGGTGGCCTTGTATGGGATTGCTTTCTTTGACACTTCTACTGGATAGCTATTGCACTCTTCGCATTCGTCTAGTCTAATAAAGTTTTATTTCGGCTTTGTTTGGAGTTTGTTTATCGGACAAAACTACGTTTGTATGGATTATCGAGAAAGTGAAAAGCGGAAATGTGGCTCTTTGCGGAAATGGCGCTAATTTATGGCCGTAGATAGTAAAGTAACCTAAAAGTAAGTAATAAGATGGCTTTGCAAGGATATCCTACTATATATAAAAAATAGTTCCTGTGTGTGTGTATGTATGTGTGTGCATTTGCATGCAACTTCCGTCAGCGTGTTCCAGCAGTATCTCAATAAGGGGAGTAGTTAGGGGTATGTTTTATACCTTATTCGGTGCGTAATAGCCCTGGGATGACTGCACACTAATAAAATTTTCGAAAATTCGGTGTTTTCGACGTTAAAATTAAGTTTTTGTGGAAAAATCGAGAACTCTCTTTGTTAGGAAACAATTTGCATACGCCGGCTGTTGCGGTTACCTATATAAGGAAAGAAAGGCAGCGTTTCTCATTTTTTGTCATCGAAAATCGTGAGAATTATGCAAAATGAAGAAAATCATGCGATCAGACGGGGCCAGGGTTGAAAAGTCGCGAAGCGACTTTTCAACCCTGGTGATTTGATTAATTTCGCCTATAAATCATTATCTAGCACGTAAAAATTATTTGTGCGGTTAAAAAGCTAGCTTTTTTAAAATTTCGCCTCTAAAACAAGATCTAGCATGGAATTATGAAAATGAAAATTTATCCGTTTATTAAATTCCGCTTCAAAAGTCAGATCTTGCTAATATACGTTAGAGAAATGGACTTTCTAGACCCAAAAACTGCGCTTTCCTTCTTTTATAGCGTCTAGGCTTCATCATAGCGCTAAAATGTTGCCGGCAAAAGTTATTAGCCTATTCGCCCCCAAGGCCAACTCTTATCATTCAGCCGAATAGCGCGAGCTGCGGCGCCCCACTTCCATTTCTTCGTATGGTTCGAGTCGGCGTCGTCGGAGGTGGCCCCGCGGGCCTTTGCGCTGCTAAAAATGCCCTTAAGGAAGGCCATACCGTCCAGGTAATGTTTATTCTATTTGATATACCTTGGCGAGTGTACAAAATCATGATTAAAAATACAAAAATATCGATTTTGACCAAAAATGGCCGATTTACGACAGAATCTCGATTTTCAAAGCGTTTTTCGATCGTTTTGCCGCTTGAAATATGCCCAATTTTATTAAAAACACTATGAAAACACTTACTATTACATTACTGGGGTTTCTTGACTATACACCCCCTCGTTAATGCAAAAGCCCGATCTACGCTGCGTAAAAAAGCGCCCTATTTTATAGATCTGGGAGCAATGCTGCTCAATTGGAGGTACCTGGGTGTATAATGAAGAAACGGGGACCCATTCGAGTATGTATGAAGTGATGAAGACGAATCTACCAAAAGAAACAATGGCATTCCCTGGTCATCCATTTCCTCATCATCTACCCTCATTTATCACCCATCAACAAGTTCTTCAAGTTTGTACCCCCATTAATATTAATATTATAATTTATTTATGCCTAATCATTGATTAATTCTAGTATATAACGGAATATGGGGAACACATCGATGTTCAGCTGAAAACATGTGTTTTGAGGGTTGAAAGGAATGGCGAGAGATGGATGGTGAGTGCGAAATAAATCAATTATGTAGTATTGATAGTAGAATAGCCAAACTATAAAAAGATTTGTAATTTTAGGTAGAGGTAGAGAAAGAAGGTGAAAAGAGACAAACGGAAGTGGATGTGCTATTTGTCTGCAACGGCCATTATTCCCATCCAAATCGACCGTTCGATGAGAAACGCTTTACAAGTCGGTTTAATTGATTTAGGTTCCCGAAAATAGATTATTTTAGAGGGATCGATCGTTCACAGTCACGACTATCGCTCGAATAAGGGATATCGGGATCGAAAAGTGGCTGTGGTTGGGGCTGGGCCATCGGGGATCGACATTGCGCTACAGGTTGCGGAAGTTGCTCAAAAGGTTTGAGAACAGCTTTCAAATTTATAAAATAATTAAAGAGAGCCGTTGGGGGAAATTTCATGCTTCAACTTTGCGAGGTTCATATGTTATTTGGTGTCATTGAAACCCTCAAAATTTACTATTCAGAGGCATTCACATTCAAAATTCAGTTTGAATCCCACTTCAACCCTATACGATAGAAAAAAACGCTAAAAACTAAATTATAGGTTTTGTCACCAAGATTACGCTTTTTTGGAAAGCTGAAAATCCAAAATTCGCCCGATCCTTCCGTGACAATACTATGGACAACGGCCTGTCTCGGAAAGGGGCGGGGTCAATCTGGGTTACGGTCGCTCGGTCCCGCCCCCTTTCCAGTCCCCAACTATAAAAGGAATTTTCCCACAAATTTCCCACCTTTTGCACCAAATTTTGCACGAGTGCATCAACAAGCAAGAAGAATGGCCAAGACGAAGCGCACTTTCCGCCCACCTGGCCGTAAAGCCGGAGGACCCCCACCCATCTCCCGCTCAACCCGTGCCGGCGTTCAGTTCCCGGTCGGCCGTATCCACCGAATGCTCCGTGATGGCAACTACGCTAGCCGTGTCGGCGCCGGAGCCCCCGTTTACCTCGCCGCCGTCCTCGAGTACCTCACCGCCGAAATCCTCGAATTGGCAAGCAACGCGGCCCGTGACAACCACCGAAAGACGATCAGCCCCCGCCATCTGCTGCTGGCCATCAGAAATGATGATGAATTGAACAGACTCTTTGAAGGCATCACCATCCCGAGTGGCGGTGTCGTTCCTCACATCAATGCTGTCCTGCTGCCAAAACAGACGGCGGCCGCCAACAAATCTACCGACCCGGAATCTGACTGAATACTGCGACAAAAATTTTACCCAACCCAACGGCCCTCTTTAGGGCCACAAATCATTAAAATACAAAGGCTTCCTAATTACTTTTAGGTGTTTCTGATCGGGCGGTTCATTGACGCTTACCAAGGGACCCCAGAGAATTTGGAGCAGGTTTTATTTAGTTTTCCAGTTCCTCAACGATGTTTTAGGTGGGCATCCGCGTGAAGGACTTGGCGGCAGACGGTGTGGAGCTGGTCGACGGCAATCTGGTGGCTTGCGATGATGTGATTATAACGACTGGCTATTTCTACAGGTAAAGCTTTGGCTTCTAGGCCTTTAGGTGTTGATGCTATGTTGAAAAAGCGTTTGCACTGCGTGAATGCTGTGCTGCATTTGACGACGGATATGGCGCTGATCAAGCTGGCGGCGTTCCGAAATACTTTCGATTTTTGAGGAACCAGTGTTTTTCTGTTTGTAGCTATTGGCTGTTGGTGTAGTTTTTATCGCTGACGCCAAATGTCTTTTGCCTGAATGCAAATGACACGTTTTCAAACAATACAAGACTGTTTTCTCTAAACCATAACGTTTTTCTATTACATTAGGCAAGGTTTCGGAGGCACCCATAACTTGCTAGGTTTTTTTGTTTCAAGTAGCTAAAGCAGCGCGACAACGACCATCAGATTGTTTTTTATCTTCTTAATCCTGATTCGTTTCAGTTTCCCATTCCTGCCCCCGGAATCCGGCATCGTCATCGAGGATGCGGGCCGTGTCGTGGGAGGGCTTTTCATGCAACTCGTTTCACGCAAGTTCCCCACATCGCTTTTCCTGGTCGGCCTTCCGTTTGTCGTGGTGCCGTTCGTGCTCTTCCAGGCACAGGTAGGGTTTTCGGCACTCACTGGTCGGCGACCTTTAGTTACGGTTTGGTCATTCCAGGTGTTGAGGTGAAATTTACTTTAGGTAACGTACGCGCTGGCGTTAGTTGACGGGACAGCAACACCGCCGAGTCCGGCTGAAATGGAGGAATGGGATTTGAAGAAGCGGGGGTTAGTAATAATTTCAGGAGTTTACGAATGTTTGTTTTCAGGGATATGTCGTCTCGACATTTACCGACAAAATACTACCACATGCTCGGCGATGAACAATGGCCGTATTTTGAGGAACTGTATTGGCGAGGTATTTTTATAACGAAAAATTCGGATTAGTTCTTGAATTTTTAGGTACTTTTTAACATCTTTATATACATTTAGCCCACTCAACCGCCCCGGCCTACAGCCCGGTGGTGCGCAAGCTGTTCGACTACACGGCATTGCAACGAAAGGAGAACATTGCCACCTACAAGGACATCAACTTTGCTGTCGACGGCGACGAGTTCAGCGTCGTCGAATAAACGGATTGATTTCGGCCCGAATGTTACAGGATATGGGTTACAATTTTTATGGAAGCTTCTAGAATCTAGAAACATTTTTAGTTTCGCTGGATGGGAGCAGTCACAATTAGAATTAGGGCCCTGGGCCCCCGGGGTGCTGGGTGGAATGGGCCCCTGGGTCCCAAGGGGCTTGGGGCATAGGCGCATTTTATAACTTCGTCCAGGGCTTGGGGGGGGGGTTTCAATTTAAATGGATTGCTTGTAGGGTATAGAGAAAAATGTGGTGTGATTAGAAATAAAATGAAAACGATGTTTTAGGGCTGGCAGGATGTGTAACTACCTCTAAATTCTTGCGGTATTTAGGCCCTAAAGAGTTATATATTTTTTCTAGAACGGAAAATAAGCCCTTCGATACCTCTGCGGTGGGCCAGTGTGAACGAATTAATTAATGCGTCCCGAATGGAGACGGGCAGGCCGTAGAGGAGGAGGGGGAGATCGAGCCGGAAAGGGTCCCTTGGGGCCCGGTGCCGCCTGGCAATCAGCCAATTCCCCAAGGACCCCACCCGGCATCCCCCACAGCCCCCCAACACGGCTTCATACCGTCCGCCCAGGGCCTCGCCAGGGAAATATTGATTTTCTAGGGCTTATCGTTAAGACGGTCTTTTTAATAGTACTTTGACAAAAATTTAGTTGAAATTTACAGTACCCCAAAAGTTGGGCGCCTAAAAATGCCATTTTCTGATTTTTGCAATTTTTATCCGTCTAAAAACGCTATTTTTGGCTAGCGTTAGCTTTTGTGTATGCCTATTTGGTGACTTTTTTCGACAGTAACGATCATATAAAGAAAATTAGTTGTTAAATTTACGATACTCCGATTGTGCCCAATTTTCCGAATTTTTCCTGATTTTTAGCGGCTTTTTGGGCCCTATTTGGCCGATACCTCGAACAGCCAAAACCTAGTTAGCGTCCCGTTCTACAGCACAACTGGTTGATGCCACGCCGCAAGCAGTTGATGCCGAAACCCGTGAAAAGTACGTTTTTACGGATTTTTTATTAAATCCAATCCTAGGAGACACGAGCCACTCGCCGACGTCCCCAAAAAGAGCGTATGTTTTTTGGGATAGGTTTAAATAAGCTAGAAAATCTGTTCATTTTTAACCGAACTTTAATCCTTTAAAGGATTAAAATCCATAGCCATGCCTTACCCGTCCCTTTAAAATTTAAACAACATTTTAGAAAAGCAGAATCACCAGCCGAGCCTAGAGAAACACCCACCACCGAACCGCTCGAATGCCAGCTATGTCGAGAGAAGCTCGCCACGATCGCTCAACTACAGGCCCACACCATCCAGGCCCACGTCCACAACACGGTCAGGCGGACGAGCAAAGATTATTGAGCGATTAGTCTATTCTATCTGGCTTTGCTTTTTATAAAATTCCCTGGGAAATATACATTTTCTAGGTTTAATTTCGGAATTTTTAGGAGAAATCTCGTGGTGAAGCGCTGTTGGAATGCCAGGCAAGCCTTTTAACAGGATTTTCCGTTTTATACTTTTAAAGTAGGGCTTTATAATCAATTTTTAGCATTGTCCAGCGCGGCTTCCGTCATTCGCCGCGTTTGCCTCCCATATGAGATCTCATATGGCTCCTCCGCCTCAATTAACTCCGAATCTGCGATGTCTCATTTGCCACTCCACTTTTCCCGATCAAGCGGTGAGTCATGGGTTTTTTGGTGCTCGACTGTTAGCAGGGGGAGACCAACTTTTTTCAATTATAATTAGTGGAAGCGTTTCTAAAAGTTTTTTTGCTGTTCTCAAACTCAATACTATTAAACCACTTCCTATTAAGTTACAGGAATTTCTAGCTTATAGAAAAAAGTTCGGGCCCCGGATAATGCGAAAGAACCATATTTTGTTTTTAGTCTCGCCAGCAGCATACCCGAGCCCATTTTGCCACCATCACCACTCGACTGCGCTGCTCGCAATGCCCGGATGTGCCTTTTCAAAGTAGGTTTATTTGGTGCTCCTGGTGTCAGTGGCCCTTTAAAAAGATTTTTAAGTTTAAAAGCTCCATCTACATTTTGTAGAGGCTTAGGCTTAAAAAGCTTATAAAATCACTTCAGCCGCCGCTGAACTCTCGCAACACGCCCGGGAATCCCACCTGCGCGTAGTACACCGATGCGCCGTGTGCCAGGAGACGTACGACACTGTCGACGCGTTCAATGTAGGCGCAGAATACAAGAATTTTGACTTCACCCTGCCCTATAACTTTCCAGGCTCATTTCGCCACCCATTCGAACGAGACCGAGGCCCCGGGATGTGTTGTCTGCGATGTGGCGTTCGATTCAGAAGAGGTGCTCACCCTCCACATACATCTTGTACACGATCGGTTTGGAATTGTATTTACGCTATTTATGTTATTTTATTTAGTGAAAATTCTACTCGTGCTCCTCTTCCTTTCCCGTTGATGCCACAATTCGCCGTGCCACCGTTCGATTTCGGGGTTGCAAAATCGGAGGCGCAGGTTTGGAGCTTTTCCTAAAACACTATTCAACAGGAAATAAAAATAAACATAGAAACTAAGCGACAGAAAACATTTATAAAACTATAGAAATGTTTTATATTTAATTAATAGGTCGTAATTCAACAAAAAAAAGTGCAACGGCTATTTGCTTACTTTTAGAATCGTCGAATCCACTGTAGCGTCTGTGATATCGAATGTGAAGGCGAAGAAGCATTGGATGAACATCGACTCATGGCACATTGCAAGGTTTTTGCCAAAATAATGACTTTGCTATAGTGTTTAAGGTGCTTCGCGGAGACCACTGCAGTGTTTGCTCATCGTCTATGGCCAATTCGTCGGATATCGTGGCTCATTCCCATATTCATTCCGTTGATGGTCATCTGTCATGTGCTGTCTGCAGGTATGGTGGAAAAATTGCCGACAAACTATAGAGTAGAATAATAAATAACAAATACAGCTAGATAAAAGTAAGATAAAATGATTAAATAGAGAAAGTTAGGGTTTTTAGACAAACGGTGCGCGATGAGACCCATCTGCTTCTCCATGCCCATTTTCACTTGGCCATGTCGAAAATGCCGGACGAGAATCAGCCGGCAGAGCCGGAAAATACGCAATGCTTTAGGTGTCAGGTAGGGAAAAACTATTTCGACAATATAGATCTTATTTTGGATGGATACCGGTCAAAACGGCCACATAAGTTTTCTTTAAAAAAACCCGGCAGTTCCGGAGGTTTGGGTCGGCAAAAACCGATACAAAAAGTGCGTGACAAAAACGAAACCCAAAAATCGGCCAGAAAAATTCCCATTCCAGGAAATGATCCTCGTCACCGACTTCGAGACACATCTCCTGAAACATGAATCAACCCCCGAGTGTCCCTATTGCACCGACGACATCAAGCTAAATCAACTTGTAAGGCTGTTGATCAACATCTAAATCTGTAAATAGCTAGAACACATCACCAACGATCACCCAAAAGCCACGGGCGCCCATCGATGCATCGGATGCGAGCAGGAGTTCCACTTTGAGGTACTTCTCCAGCATCATCAGATGATGTCGCTATGTCGTGCCAGGTATCTTAGTACTAAAGTCGTAAAAAAATAGTCAGTTAGTTAAAATGGCGATAGGCCGCAGGAAAGATAGGTTTCCCCACCTATAACAGTCCAGTACCGACTGATTTAGAAGTGAAGGATGGCCAGTCGGGCCGGCGGCCATGCTCGCCAATGGAAACGCGTTTCCCAAAGTTCAAAGGTTGGTCCAAAAATAATATTAATTTAAACAAATATAAGTGTTCATAAAATATAAAAACCTTCAGATGCCCGGTTTGTGGGCTGTCCTTCAACACCGTCGTCCGCCTCGACGCCCACATCCGGAAGCACAACAGCACAAACACACGAGCGGTTTGCCAGATTTGTGGGAAAGGATTTGAAAGGTTACCTATCCCCTTAATCATTTGCTAAACATCAATTTACAGCAAAGATATTCTACATTCCCATATGCTGCTGCACAAAGAGAATCTCGAAACGGCGGCCCGGACGTCTACATGAATTTGATCCTCTACCAGATTCTACCCACCTGTGATCAACTACCAACATATCAAATTATCGCTATTGATTAAACCCTATCCCGGCTCAAATACACCGTCAAAATATAGGAAACTGCAATGCAAACAAAAATTTTATACCACAGCAAGAAAAAGATTCGAACATATTGAGAATATCGAAAGATTCGGGAGGATATTATTAACAAAGTTGCCGGTGAGGTAACAGAAGAAAGGCTGAGATTCGATACCTTGGGGGGAATCAAGGACGGTGGAAAAGAGGGGGACCGACTAGCATGTCACCAATCTCACGAAATTACGCTAAATAACCGTAGAAGAACAGAGTTTCGATGTAATGAACATCGATTGTCGAATGGAAAAAATCCCATTCTCTGAAGAAGTACACATAGGAGAATAATAATAAAGCAGAATCTACGTCATCTAGCAAAAACACCTTGCAACCAAAAAATCACAGGAAAGATATAGAATAGCTTTTTTAGATCTCTGAAGTCGTCGTTTCACCGGTAGATATTCATTCAACGGCAGCTTCAGCGAGCCTGAAAATGAAAGATTCTCGAGGGAATTTGGAAATATATTCCAAAGGCAAGAAACCACGATACAACGCTAATTATAATAATCGTGTGCCTATGGAAAACGTGGAAAACGGAAAAATTATAAAGTCACACCCTAAAATTCGCACCCAGGGCACACCTAGTCCAGCTCGGGGAAGTCCGCGTAAAAATAGTACTATAACGTATTGTAATTCGGGGATTAAAGGGATTGGACAGAGAAGATAAAATAAATGGGGGGAAAAAAAAAAATTTTTCCCCCCCCCCCCCCCGGGCCCCCCCCCCCCCCGGTTTATTTGAAAAAGGGGGGGGGGGGGGGAGCCCCCCCCCCCCTTTAAAGAATTTTAGGTACTGTTCTCTTTCGCGGGGAGGGAAATCGTTTTTAACCAAATTTTTGCATAAAAGACCAGCTTTTTTCTTAGTACTGGATCGTAATATGGTTTTAGTTTTTGACATGATTAATATCGGAAGAGTAAAAAGAATTTAAAATATCGAAAATCTCCTTGCAAACCAAAATTGGATTTCGAAAACGGAAAAATTACGATCTTCTATATAATTAAAGCCGAGCATACATTACCAAAAACACGAGAGCTAAAAAGACCAAAGAAAAAGATTAATTAATTGGCTTCATTATGATTTTCCCTCCCCTCTAAAGAGAATAGTACCAAAATTTTGTTACCAAAAATACGAACCTCGTTGAAAGGCTCGGGCTCAGCGAGCGGAGCCTGTGGAAGCAGACGATATCCTGGGGCGTCACGGAATCCCATTGGGACGTCCCTGTAGCCCGGAGCATCAGCGAACCGAGCGTGAGATGCCGCTTGCATCGCCGCTGAGTGTTCAGAAGAGAAACGGCGTACACGGTGCGACACCGTTTTGGAGAGTCGCTAAAATTAATTATTGGAAGCCGAAAGAAAAGCGAATACCGCTCGCTTGCTCTCATCGAGTGTAGAATAGCACAGAGCTCCGAGCAGGGCAGCGATGGCAAAGAGGGCAATCGGCAAAAGCGGAATCAGCGCCACGGCCGCGCCGACCCATTCGCTCCAGGGCCAAGCGTGAACGGCTGGCGAGTACGCTGAGAAGTCGTAATGACGCGCATTCAACACGGCGATACCCTAAAAAATATTTTCTAGACGCACGATACTACTTACGATTGGTACTGCAGGTAACAAGTAGGTGAAGAACAGCAGGAAATGGCCGAAGCACCAGCAACAAGCCGGGGAGATGATGTAGTGCAGATCGTTGCCCAGTCGATGGCTGCCTAAACGTGATCTAGAAGCCGCATATGTGTTGAAAATATTTTGAGTGTTTTTAGTACAATTTAGCCATAATTAATGTCGAGAACAAACCAGAAAACCTAGAGAAAATTCAAAAAGCCGAAATTATCCGCGAAAATAGTTCATTTTAAGTCGAAGAATTTATAATATAAAAATTGGACACTGAGGAATTCGTCCATCTCGCCCCGATAATAAAAAAGCACCAGAAAATCTTACAGTAGATCCAAGCGACCGCAAACAGTTCACTCGCCAAGATCACCCAAACCGTGATGTATCGCAGCGAGCCGACGGCCAATTCGTAGGCGTGACGTCCGGCCGGAAAAAGGTCGTGGTTAGCAAGTTTTACTTTATCCAAATTCATTTCAGAAAACCCCCTGAAATTATTTACCTGTGTAGTAAAGTACAAGCTAGAAGCCATGACGACGGTGCAGGCGAAGAGAGCAAGGAAAAAGCGAGGCACACAGCGTGACCACCTATAAAATTGTATATTTCATTCCAGCGCCGCAAACCTTTCTCCGAGCGCATCCTCCAGCGTCGACAGGATCGAGAGGGACAGCAACGCCTAAAAAATCGTATCAATATAGCGAGCATAAACTTACAAAAATATTATAAAGGACGACAATGGATGAGAAGAGGAAAATTCCGCTCCACAAAACGTAGTGGGGCAAATGCGAGAAATAGGCGAGGATGTAGTAGAGTTGTTGTTCTCCTGAAAAACATAATCCGTTTTGAACACAGAAAATCGCGGTTGCCTTTTGCCATTAATTCACTGGGTGGTAGTCCGGTTCTCGCAGAAACATAGCCGACCAACCCAATAACGGTGGCCACCTGCAAGATTGAGGATTTGGAGGGGAGATTTTGGAAATACCTGCATTATTGTGAAAACGCAGTGGGCAAAGACGATGACGAAGGAGTCGCTGAAACAAATAAATTAATCATTAAAATCACGGGTTTTTTAAATCCAGAGGGGAGTAAAAACTAAAATATCGATTTTTTCGACCAGTTTCAAAATTAAAAAAATTTTTGTCAATTTTCGAAGCAGATTTACACTTGAAATCTCGTGACATTTGATGGAAAGCATCGTTAAACCCTAATGCAAAGGTTACTAGACGTATCGTAGCTTATCGGAAGTTAGAAAGCCCCCCCCCCATATTGCCAAAGCACCAAAATTATCACCATCATTGAAATATAACTACTTACCCGACAAGGTTATTCGTTCGCTTATTATAACTGCCCATCGTGATGAAGACACCGAATCCGACACCGCATGCCATCAACGCCTGCTCCGCAGCCAGCGCCCAGACTGTGTAATCTTGGAGTCGAGTCCAGTCCGTAGCCTTCCAATAGACGTTCACAATTTCCGACAGCCCTTCCACAGTCAATGCCCGGATCACGAGCGCCAGCATCGTCGAGAAGGCCCCGATCAGAAGGATTGGGACCGCCTATCGCCAAAAATTGAAAACTACCGGTTTATCTACCTTTCCAATGAACCGGACGCCGAAGCAGATGATCAGGAAGACGCCGATCCAGACGGCTGCGTGGCTGAACAGGACGGAGAAGTTGAAGTCGACAAACTCGGCAATTGACGAAGAGGCCGGATCGATAGTGCTGAAAAACGGGGTTTAATTAATCTAACTAACCCGAATCGTTTGTTGGAAAGCGGTTTTTAGCATTGTTGGCGAGGGAATAAAATATTTTAGCAGGCCCAAGTGACTATATGACGCTTAACGTATTTCACTATCACGTTTATGATTTTTGGTTTAAAACCGATAAAATATCAATTTCTGCCAGAATTTTCTTATTTCTGATAAAATTGCGGTATTTTTAGACGTCAAAATATGGCTAAAATTGCCCGCAAACCTCTAGGAAACTAATAACTGCCTAATCCCCGCCGAATTTAACAAAAACATACTTCAAGAAGTGCATCATAGAGCTTTCCTGATTGAGCGTTTGCAGCTTTGTGTGAGCATCAACCGTCAAGTTGGTCAGCTGGCCGGCATCACGACACGCCGCTCCGGAAGCGATGAATTCCGGAAAGCCACGGCATTTTAGCCAAGGAAGATCTAAAAAAGTAGATTTTTTCTTGATAATCTTTAAATGCCTACCTTGCCGTTCCTCCTTCAGCGACCAAAATAGGTAGTAGAAGAAGAGCAGCAACATTCCCAAGTATCGCGTCATTGTGGCCAAGACGACGATACAAAGGAGCGTTTGTGCGACTCCGACGCCTATAAACGAAGAGTATAAATGATAAGGAAAGCAAGGATTTGTAATTTCGACATTCCTTAGGGTTCCATTAACGTTTAGCAAGCTTCTTAGCATGATCCTCACCTTTCGAAATCGGACATAGCGTGAAAAACGCCCCAACAGGAGCCCGACCCGTCAACTGGCCCACCGCTAACTCGAGGATAATGATCGGGATCACGCAGAGAAGTAGAGCAGCACCATACGCAGAAACAAAAGCAACTAAATCAGATTGCTGAGTCAGCACAAAATACACTCACCTCCGCCATTTTCCAGGATCAACTTGGGCAGATTCAAAAAGTTTGTCGTCGCGCAGACATAAGCCGCTGCGGTCACGGTGAACTCCACCTAACATCGAGGGTAAGGGTCATAATCGTGTAAGCACGTACCTTAAGGGACCACAGGTCTCTCCACTCCTCCACAAGATCGCTTTTCATGTTGGACCAGCTGCGCTCTTCGAACCACATCTTGATGGTCGGTGGTGTTTCGGTCTTTACTCAATCGTCGATACCTCTATCGACATGTGGTTGAAGGTTCCCGGTGCCTAAAAATAAGGTATATAATTTTTCAAATAGATAGACATCAATTGAGCTAAATTCAAAACACAAAAACATCAAAATAATTATTCGAGAAATTTTTTGCAGGCTATTTGCTGGCGTAATCGAATGTGGGGCATTGGTAAAAAACTATCGTGAGTTGGAAATAAAGGCATAAGTTTTTTTTAATAATATGGGGTTTTTAATTAATAAAATAAATAAAAATACATAGATCAAACAAGAAAATTTATATTTGGAGGTTATTTGCTAACGTAATCGAATGCGGGGGAATTGATAAAATTTTTAAAAATGAATCGGAAGTCATAAATAAACATATCTGTGAAGAAAAATATTAGTTATCTATTCAATCCTGCCATAAAGTTACTAAATAAATTTTTGAAGGGATTTTTTAGCGTAAACGAACACCGGATCTTGATAAAAAGTCGGCGAAGTTGCAAATCAATGTTACTGTGTAAAAATATGAATAAAGAGAAGAAAATATCGACATTAGCACAATGAAAGACTGGAAAAGCCGTGTACGGCGCAGGATATGTTTTTTCGGGGGTGTAAAGTGCACCGGGCGACAGACAGATCGCATAAGCGATTAGGTGATGACTCAGATTGGCCATTCCTCCCAACATCCACCCGTCTGTTTTACCCCACGCAAATTTTCCAGCATCCCGGCTGCATAAATCAATATGGGTCCGTAATAAAGTGGATGTGGTGTGTAAAGCGAGGCGGGCAAATTATAGGTGTCATACGAGGGGAGAAACAGGAACAAGGTGGGGAGCTCAGGGTCGAGTAATTAGCGGGTCAGGCAGCCTTGGTACCGCATATAGGGTATAGAATTATTTTTCTAGTTTGGCTACTTATATCTGGTTAAATATTATACCTACACTTTGCGGTACAGGAGTGTTAGCGGGGGGTAGTAATAAATTGGTTTTCTGGGGTTTTCAAGTAGACAGAACGTTCAAAAAAATCTTAAAATTTTCGAAAGATTTTTCTAACTATAGAGCAATCAAAAACTACTAAAAACCATAGAAATACACCCTAAAACCCGAATATTTTTCATAGATAGCGAATAAAAGACTAATTAGCTCCCCCCCCCGCGAACAGACCAGCACCGGCTTTATTAGGGAAAAAAAGGTATAATCTGCTACAGCCAACATTCAAAAACCTAGATATCAAAAGTGGCCGGCTGAATAACCATGGTGATTGTTGTTTGTTGGTGGCCGGGGCGCCGGGTTGTAGATGTGTATTGAAAGGAAAGAGAGAGAGGGAGAGAGGGAGAGAGAGAGAGAGAGAGAGAGAGAAGAGAGAGCAAGAGCGGCTGCCCACTGTGATCAGTCCATCCATATCGATGGGTTGAGTGTGAGTCGGGAAATGTCGTGGTCAGTAGTCGCCAGCCAGCCCTCCTCCCCCCCCCCCCACCAATTTCACCCCCATCATTTCTATAGTCCGTAAGGGAGACAAGGTCGTTGATGTTGCTGGATGGAATTCGGATTCTGGCAGGAAATCTGTTGTAATCAGCGCAGAAAGGGACAGGGCTTTTTAACGGTATTTTGCCAAAACTTATTCTCGAGAACATTCAAGTTAATACGGGTGACGGCCAGTTCGCCTAAATCCACTTCGCCTGAACCAACTAACGATTAAACCTAAACTTCTAATAAGACCAAAACCAGACATTAAAGACTTCTTATTACGTATTAAGCCGCGTGCTACTAAAATACTGCTACTTGAATCCTACTTCAGTACGATTAGTATATTCAAAAATTTCTATCAAAATATTTTTGTATGATACAGTTTTTACCAGCAACAATAGATTTAAACTCAGCATGTGGTATAAAGTACAAAAACAAAAAAGTCACCAATTTCCGCTAAAAAGAAACATAGTAAACAGTTAAGATCTTAATCGAAAAGTCTAATAGACATTTTTAAGCCGAAACCTTTGAGTCCCATCGAAACTGATATTTATCCAAAGCCGGAAACGGTCCCGGGGAACGCCAGACGATAATCTTCACCCTAATCTGGCAATCTAGGGCGTCCAGGTGGGCCCTCGGGTGGCCCTAATGGGTCAACAGGGGCCCGGGGCCCTTCTGGGTCACCTTCACGCGCCTCATCTTGCGCGAAAACGCTAAGACATCGTGAAACCGATGTGATAGCCAAAATCTAACGAACAAAATGTATACACACTGCCTTCCCCGATGCCCATTCATCCACATGCACACACTCCCCGCAATCGAACATCTGTTTTACAGCAAAGCGATTAGGGTCGGGGCCAAGGACCTCGTGGGAAGAAGCGGAAAAGGGCAACTGGAGAGTCTCGTAGCTTCTTGGCCACCCCCTAAAATATGACCCCCAATCGGTGTGTGGCCCAAAGCCGCTCAACTTGATACAACCCGGACGCTCTATACGCTTTTATAGTTTGTCAATTTGACCTGTAAATGCAATCGGCGGTTAAAATTCGGGTGTCAAATGTAAAATTACGTCGTCGCATCGGCAACGCCACCTTTAAGGCAAAATTCTAAAACTCGACAAAAGGTATGGTAAAAAAAAAGCCCCATAGCAAAAAAAATAAGAAAATGCGATAAGCTCACAAAATTCTGAGTAAAAAGGAAAGTGTTGTAGTCGTCCGTCAATACAATTAAAAAAACTCGAGACATGATAACAAAATTTCGGACTAGAAAAAAGTGTATAAGCAAGTATAAACCCCCTTTCCGATACACGCCAATTGACTTCGACGTCGTCATTTTATTTTAGAAACTAGAAGAAAAAGGAAAGGAGCATCCATCTTACCCGCCAAAAAAAAGATAAATTGAAACCGCGCACAAAATTCTGGGCCCCAAAAGTAAACTCGCGATGGCGTTTAGTACCGTTGTCTTAAAAATAATCATAAAAATTAAATATCTACGGGATAAGGAAAAGAATAAAGCAAAATAAACTAAAAAACAAGTTACGATACACGCCAATCGACGGGCAACTGCGTATTGTTCACCATCGTAGCCATCGCAAGGCCTCCATTGAAATGCCTTCGCAACGGGAAATGAGCGTTTGGTTGGTGGGAAGGAAGGAATGGCACTCGTCCTCCCCTTCTCTTTCTCCCCCTTTTGCCAGCTACAAATTGGCGCCAGGGCCCTGGCTGAGGAGAGCCGGCCACTCGCCAGGTTTTCTTCTTCTTCTTCCACGGCCCCAAATTCTCGAAGCGTACGAAAGTTGCGACGGGGAGCAAGAGAAGGAGAGAGCGGGAATTCTGGGTGAGATGAGGGGAATGTTCATTTCAGAGTCATGAGCTCGAGGCTTAAATGGGTATGGGGGGGGTACTGACTGGTGGACTGGACGGGGGGCATTTCGAGGGTGCTTTTCGACTTGGGGGAATGAGTAGTGGAAAGCGGGAGGATCAGGAACGTTCTAACGGGATATAAAGTGCTATAGATGTTATATAAAAAGCGGCAAAAAAGTCAGAGAAATTAAAAAAGGGAAGTAGTAGCTTTTTGCGCGGGACGTCGCGTATTATAAAAATCGGTTCTCTGGCATTATCGGGGAGGGGGAAACTTTTTATATAAATCAAGAGATGTCTAAGAATCTATTCGGATTGTTTTAATAGCGTTTCAGTAAAAAAATAACTATATTTCAACTAGAAAAACCTATTAAACACTTTTGAATCGTTTTGGAAAAGTTTTGAAAAAATAAATAAAAATCGGTCATTTTTGGTCGAAAAAGCGATATTTTTACATGCTTCTACAGCCGTCAAAATCTATACCCCTGCTTTGACGCCCCTTTAAAAAGCTTCATTAAAATTGGCGCTAGAATGCGCCCGAAAAGGGTGTGTTGTGTATATTATGTGTGTGTGTTCGGGAACGGGGAGACGGAGCATAGAGACTGAGGCTCAGGGGGCATTAGCATGACGGGGTGGGCAGTGTGATCAATCGGCGGCTCATAAATAATTACGTTGGCTGGCTGGTGCCCACCATTGGCGCACCCCTAAGCAATGGAATCGGAAGTGGCCACAGCCACGGGGTGGGAGGGGAGAGAGCGAGAGAGAGAGAGAGAGAGAGAGAGAGAGAGAGAGAAGAGAGCGAGCGCACACCATGGTATTTAGGGGCCCTCCTATATTCACAGCCATTAGGCCACGAGTTGGGGTATCATTAACCTCACCAGAACCATGGATCATATCAAGATATCCAGGGAGTTTACCATTATTATTTACCATTATTAAAAATCATTAAAGATTATAAAATGGATAAGGATTTTGGCAGCGACACGCAACGCCTTACGGTATTTTCAAAGTCCTAATAAAGATATTCTTGCCGGTTTATTGCATATTTAAGGGACCGGTATGGCATTACTTTCTAAGCCCCCTAGCGTCTCGTGCGTTGCATGCCGCGGCTGCGACAAAATCTTAGCTAAGTCATGGCAAATAATACTCTATAGATTTGCCGCGACACGCTACGCTCGTCGCTTTGCCGCAATAAAGTGCCTTCATCGATTACGCAATGAAAGGTAGGGGCGCGTTGCGTGTCGCGGCCGCGGTAAAACCTACAAAAATCAGGGGTTTAACTAATAGCATATATTAAATTCATTTACACGCTATAAATTCCCAAAAATGTGTCCGCGACACGCAACGCGCGCGATTAGCCACCATAACGTGTCGTAATCCATTACGCCATGAAGGGTAGGGGCGCGTTGCGTGTCGCTGCATCCGCAAAATTTTCTAAAATCCATAACCAAAAAATTCTCAACCTCGCTTCGGATTGCGAAAAATGTTGTGCTTTCAAGAATACCAAAGCGGGAAAAATCTCGAAAAAATACATGCCGAATATAAAGCAGTCAACCCCGATAGTCAATACCTAGAAATGGCTGTCACCAGCTTTTTTCCAGCACCCACACCCGGCTGAACGCTTTGCGGGGCGCACCGAACCGAGCGCAGCTGTGCGGAAAAACATGATTTGAATGGAGGGACCGGAGGGGAGAAGAGGGCCCTCTGATTCGGCCCCCCTCTTTCCATAAACAAAAGAAGCGTCGGGGCGAACACGATGGAGGAGGGCGGCCATATAGACAGACGGACAGAAGACCACATTCATATACAAACACAGCTCTACAGCAGATATATTCAATTGGTTTTGGCTAGGCGCGGGGGGGGGGAAGCCGTTGCGAGGCGAGAGTTAATTAAAGCGATTCGATTAAAGGAGCGCTAAAGTCAAACGTCTAAAAAAGCTGGGATCTGCAAAATGTGACGATCTCTACGAATTGTACATAGTAGCGCCCCGTATTAGTTCTTTAAAAAATCCGTGGCCTCGCACGCTAAATGTTGTCTTTTGAAAGTTTACGACAAGGTGAAAATTCTAGAAGGTTCTAAATATAGAAATATCTAAAAAAGAGCAACTAAAACCACTTTATCCGTTTAAAAATCTCCCGCAAGAAAAATCAAGCTGAAAGGGAGAAGGCGGGATTCGCGTAGAAATCCATGTTGACATTCGATCGACAACAAATGCAAGAAGCCACGGGCCGACACTCATCGCCCCGCCACTCGACTACACCCGCGATGGGAGACGTTATTTTTTGATGGATCAGAAAGCGTGGGTTCTTACATGAAAAGTTTGAGGAAAACTTCTAGGGATTATTAGCTTGATTCTAGAACTAAAATTAGCTTTCTCGATGCCTCGATAAATATGTTAACCTTTGCGATCGTTCTATGGTAAAAAGGCGCGTAGTGTACTGTACGTAGCGTAGCGTGGTGTACCTAGTAGCCGAACGTTCAAGAAAAGTGGCGTGCGCGAAGAAGCTAATTGTAGAAAAAGCCTTGCTTAATTTACTTTGCCTCTCAAAATACAAAAACTGGATAAAGGTAAAATTCCACCTTATGATCGTTCTATCGTAAAAAGACGCTTAGCGTACTCGTGGCCTAACCGCCGAAGAAACGCCGTTCGCGCGAAGAAGGCGCGCCTTATTACGCCCCTGAATCAATTACGGGGCGGGCGAAGGAGGAGCTGCAAACACGGGTGTGCGCGCTACGTTCGGGTAGAATTGGGGGATGGTGGGACGCAGATGGCGGCTCTGATTAGGGCCCGGCGGACGTCCCATGGACCCTCAAGCCGGCGCGTCAAGTGAACAGCCACTTCAGCCCCCCGGGTGCAAGCATACGATGCTGTGCAGAAACAAGCGGATAGTGATTTGGCGCTGGAGTGGACAGTGTAGCCGTTTCGAGAAATCGTTTGTTGGATTGTGGAATTTTTGGGGTACTGGATTGCTAACGGGGGGAGGGCTACCTAGCCTATACCGACCTAGATAAAAATTTTTGCCTTTTCTATTGTTTTTTTTGGTATTTCGAATATCAACAGATCACAAAAACATTTTTTAGCAATTGAAAAATTGTATTTCCGTCCAAAAAGCAAAGTTTTCGTAAATCTTCATAATCTTTTTCTCCTTCCTCTTTTTAAACCCGACGTAAAAAGTTACATAAATGGTTTGTATTTCATTATTGGGACCCTATGAGGCGCTAGACCAAAGCTACCCCCCCACACGAACAGCCCAGTACCGTTTTTGAGCGTGAATTCAAGGGGACCTCTCAAAAAAACTGGGGCACAGGGAGTACGCATAGGCTTTTCGATGTGGCCTTGAATTAATAAACTCAGTGAACGCGCGTACCCACATATTTCCCAGCGCGCCACCGTTCTGGTGGCAATCACTGTCACGCCCAATCGAGTCACCCGCCTGGCCACCGGGGCGTAACCGAGATTGGAGGGCACAGATGGTGCGCGATGGGTTGCGCAAATATACCCATAGCCCTCCGCGCCGCATTAGGGAACTATATTTGACAACTGGGCATAAAGGGGCCCCTCTTCTGTCGATAGAAATCCACTTCACTCACTATCTACGTGTCACGGGGTCTCAGAGCGCGCATGGGGGGTGGGGAGGGGCGTGGCCGAGTGGTCTAAGGCGGCGGTCACAGGCCACAGGGAGGGGGGTGCTGGTTCGATACCTCTGACCCCCCGTACCGTCAGATCGTTTTGCTCTTTTTTGCAAAAATTGGTTGAAGGTGCCAGCAACCCTTCTATAGTGTACCCAATGCCGAAAAATAACAAACTATATGGTTCCTGAGTCAGAAACAAGGAAATCGTGAATAGTGGTGCTGGAGTACTCATTTAAGTCACATAGATATAAAACAGAGCTGAATATATAGACAGATAGTCATACAAAGCAGATTCAAGCCAAATAGTTCAGTACTACTCCAGAATTCAAAATTGCTCAAAATCGATGGGCCTCAATCTCGTCCATTACAGCCCCCAACCCCGAAAAAGCAAGCAATTGATCATTGGCAAGTCTTAGGCGATGCAAATATACGAAAAAGGATCCCAGAAAATGGCTATATTCAAAGAAAAGCGCTGCGCACAAAGGGGTGAATTTTCGGTCTTATGCTCGCTAAAAAAGTTTTGAACTCCTTATTTTGATTCAGATTTGCTCCGAGCTCTTTTGGAAAAGGTGCCTTAGGGTCTTTTCTATCATATGCGAAAAGCCGCCTCGACCGTTTTTTCTAGAAAAAAAGTTATCGCATTTTGAAAGCGCGAAAATTTGTCACTTTTTCCCCCTTTTGTTAAGGCCTTTTGCGGGTCTCAGGGTTCGCTGTGCGCGCAGCCGGCCCACCCGTCCCGTGGAGTGCCCCGTCCCTCGTGCGCGCCCTCCTGAATAGTCGGGACCCCGTGGTGTTAAATTTGTGTAAAATCGTGCAATTCTTAAAATTGAATGTGAGGTAACTTTATAGAGATCCATTTTCACCCGAAAGCATATAGTAACCGTCATTTAGGAGCGGGTGAGAGAGACCGGATGGATTCAATCAAAATCAAAAAAGTCGAAAAATACAAATTATTCCATCAGAGTCGCATATTGTCGATGAATTGTCGCGCACACGTCTTGGATGTTGAGAAAGCCGTCGCCCCGGTCGGCCACCCGTCCGTCGGCCAACTAAAAAAAAACAATTTTGCAAACATACGATGCTTTTTTTAGCAAGGAAATAAACCATAAATCTAAATCTAAAGCTCACCGCAATTTTCTGCAGCACTTCCGCCTTCTGCAAATCGCTCAGCACTTCGTCATCCAAGACGGAATCTAGCAGTTGATCCAACAGCTGCGAGTTCGTGTAGGCTTCACGTCGAAGCTAGAGAAATAAGAAATTAAATATCATGAGGGAAAATAAATTACCTTCTCCACGGCAGCGACAAGCGCCCCAAAATCAGCTTGCCGACACGCGTTCATCAGGAAATCCACCTAGAATGGAATGACAAAAACAAAAATTCATGCACACCTGCGCTTGAGGAATTTTCCCGGACATCATCGAATAAACTAGGTCCAGATTGATGTGTTGACAAGCACGGGCCACCGCCTAAAAAACGTAAGAATCAACCCACAGAAATACCTGAATACTGGTGATCGATTTACGGAGATCCCCTTCGCTCAGCTCGACGACTTTGTTCAAAGCTTCCTCATCGAATGTAATTTTTTCCTCGTTGCAGATGAAGCGTAAGCTAAGGAAGATTAAGATAATTGAACAGCAACAAACCGATCGATCTGGCTGTCCAACGGCAATGGCTTGAAGCGGAACTTGGCGCAGCGAGAGATGATGGGCGGGATAATGCGCGTCACGTAATTACAGATCAAGAAGAACCTGGAAAAGTTATGTCTAATCAGAAATTAGAAACCTCGTGGTACGGCTGTTGACTTCCATGATGCGACGAAGAGCCGTTTGCGCTGAAGATGTCAAAGCGTCCGCCTCGTCAAGGATGACGAACTATGGGCAGCGTTTTCAGCTACATGAATTCAAACCTTCAGATTTCGATTAGGGATATGTGCTTCATCGTCGTCTTGTTCAGGGGTGGCTGTCGTCGTGCGGCGAGCAAATTCCTTGACTCGTCCACGGATCACTTGAATACCTCGATCATCAGAAGCATTCAACTCGAGCACTTGATCACTAAAAAAATTTACGCATGAAAATAGTGCCTTACTGATAGTTCTTTCCAAAAAGTTCCCGGGCGAGGGCTACGGCCGTTGACGTCTTGCCCGTGCCTGGTGGTCCGTAGAACAACATGTGCGTCAACTAAAAAAGAGGTAGAATATTTAAGAAAACAACACCCACATCTCCAGTACCGAGCAGCACCTTCTTCAACGCCGTGACGATTTCTTCCTGGAAGCAAATGTCGGAGATCTTCTTCGGTCGACTAAAAAATAAATTTGTTTTGAGAAATGATACCGATAACCCACTATTTCTCCACCCAAGGCAGTGAACTTGGGGCCTTCGCATCGTCACCGCCCTTAACGCCCTTCTTCTTCGGTGCACTCTTGGCCGCGAAGAAGGAGTCCATCCCGAAATTTATTAATCATTAAAGCAACAATTGGTTAACGTATTCAATAGAGGTCTCTGAGACGAGGAAAACAACGGGATTATCTGCAATAAATTTGTACAAAATTTTACTGATCACAAATGGATGACTATGAGATCGGGATATTAAACAAGTCGTTTGTGGCTCTTTCGCGGTGGCCCACGTATTTGAGAAGGGGTCCAATGGAGACATTTTCGATCTAGTAGAAGGGACGGGGGACGGCAGAGACCAAGCGATCGACAATGTTCGAGGACACGAACTCCAGCCTTCACAACTTGCTCTCCTTTCCATGATTTTGTCATGTTGACTGGATGTAGAGTTGCGAAGATATCATCTGTATGGATCCCTGCCTCATCCTCCACGATTGACATCCGTATCGTTTGAGGCGAGTCCAAACGTTCCAACGTTTCCAGGAGTACCCACCACCAGTATGAACGGTAACTGACTTTTCCGAGGTCAGATAGGGGCTTT